TGAAATACCAAAATATATAATCTTACCAAATACTAAAAATTGAGCCACAGCTGTAAGCTACCTACATTACGTCTCACCAATACTTCAGTGTTATTTTATTATCACTTTTTTCTTTGTCACTACAGAACATATATATATTATATATGTTCTGTAGTGGCAAAGAAAGAACGGAATGATGACATATTATTGTTGTAAAAAGCGATTAAGGAAATAAAGCATAAACAACAAGTAATAGAAGGAAAATTCGAAATAAAATATTAACCAGCTGTCTGTCTGGCCAGTGTGCTGGTTTCAAATTAAACAGCTGCATGAGGTATATTATTAGTAATATAGATTTTGTTTATAAGATGATTAGTAATATATTGTACCCCCGTAGAAACTTAGGTACTATTATCATCTACTATACAAAGTCTATATTGTACAATAGTGGGGTAGCAGTAGGAGATGATGAAATGGTGAATGGGATGATGACAAGTTAGCCCACCGCGGCAAATTCAGGAATCAACTATGATGGTTTGCTATGTTTGCTGAGAAGGAGACCTTATAGAGTACACCCGTCTGCAATAAATATAAGAATGGGGGGCGCCAGTGGAATGATAGGATTGATGTATTCAGATCAATCTGATCTGATCGGCTCAGCTATCTAGCTGAGCCTAGCGTATTCACGTTTAAAAGAAGAAACCGCGTGGAGGTAGACTCATAGCTACCAATTGAGACATCAGTCCCCATTACTAAAACTTTCTTGACTTTTGCCAATTTGTCCATCACATTGGAAACCATCGCAGTTACTTGCTTGTGAATTATTCACGTTGGGCTAAATTTAATTCGACCTCACTCTCAGAAATTGTGTACCATTAAATAATGAAAGAATGTGCTCCGGTGCATATCTCACCGCATGATGATTACATTATTCGACGTTGGTTATTTTTTTTATTCGATCATTCGCTGACTAACCACGAAATCATAAACTCTAGATTATATGTATTTTCCAGTTACGCCGAAATTTTGCATCATCTTCTAATCTACTAGTAATATTATAAACAGAGAGTATTTTACTGTCTTGTTTATATTTTATGTATTTAAAGAATACGCAGCCGATTTAATAGAATCCTTCAATAATATGGCGCTACGAATGATTAAGGTAGGCTACAATTTATTTTGGCAAATTAGAGATCTCTACAATAATTGAGCTTCAAAATCCGAGTTCGATAGTTAAGTCAACATCTACTTAGTAAAAAATAGTAATAATTAAATATAGTATAATAAAAACAAGATATATTGATTTGCATACGAGCTAGTCAATAAAGGTAAGAAAAACTAAATATGGGACTTCAACAAAATTCTGTACAATTCGTTAATTTCCAAACTTTCGACTTCACGTAATACAATAACGATGCCTAATGCTTTTTAAAATACGTAAATCAGTTAATTACAAATACAGTTAATACAGTTTTAATAATGAAGTAATGATATGAGTGGCAAAAATATTAACTAAGGAAAACTAGTGTCTCTACATACTCCTGTAGGCGCTAATAAATGTTAGTAATGAACTCATCTTATGAACTGTATTATTACTATACCACTGATACATATTTAGTAACGAGACATGAAAAATTTTGAGTGAATAGAGTTTCGTGCTACCATATTAGTACACGTAAGCTTGTCAGTGAGTCATCGCTTTTGCATATTTATTTCTCTCTTGTCTGACATTACGTTCTGACAATAACGGACAATAGTCAATTCCCACCGGTTTACCCACGCAGAAAAAAATTGTTCCCATTCCCATATAATGTCTGATATTTTTAGCTGTGCTTTTACTTAGAGTAAATATTAATAATATATCCTGACCACTCACACAGCGCCATCTAGCCCAAAGATAAGCAGAATTTGTATTATGGGTACTAGACAACGGATATAAATATTATACATATATCTTTTTTTTTTATAAAGACATACATAATGTACATGGAAAACACCCAGACTGATACAAACAATCAAACTTATGAATACAAATTTTTATACCGTGCGAGGAATCTAACCCGTGAGAATCGGAAGTAAGGCGGTGTGTTAAATCGCTAGACCAACGAGGCCGTTAATAAAATAAGCAAATGTTATAAAATTTGCAGAGACATAGATATTTTATTTGAACCTTTGAGGTAATATATACACATGTATATTATTTACTATACAAATTATTTTATTACTTTTCTTCATGAATCATTGCTATAAATATGAGGTGTTCCATTTAAACATAATAGATACCTATAGTATAATTAAGTGATAATTAGGCATATATACTATAGGTATCTATCTCTAGCTCTCTCTCTAGTTTTAATGTAAATCCATTATTTCTTTATAATATTTACATTAGTGTATTGCGCGTATCTACACCTACTGTGCAATTCACACTTATAAATACTTATTTATAGTTTAAGTGGATAAGTACGTACGTTTCATGTTTTCGTAATAAGGAGTAATCGAGCTCTGTTCACAAATCATTTAGACTAATGATATTAAGAGAGAAAAAAATCTTATTATTATTAACAATATAAACGCGAATGTATGTAAGTATGGATGGGTGTTTGTTACACTTTCAAACCAAAACTACTATCGGATTTGGATGAAACTTTACAGTAATATAGCTTATACATCAAAATAATATATAGGCTATTATTTAAAAGTATATTATGCTAATTGGGTGAAATATAATGATAAATGTTGCAGATGAAATTGGCATCTAGTAGTTTATAAATTATAAACTCAAAAAATACTTGACTATTATTTATATTATTTTACCTATGTTATTATTTACTATATGTTGTGAACGAGTAACTTAAGCTAGATTATATGCAGCCACTCAGAATATAGTCACTCACAGAACAGTAATATGAGTTTTTTTTTTTAATACTAATTACCAATATAGGATTTATTTGCTGGGTTACACATAGCACACATACTGATATTTTCACTAGATACTATGAGCACTATGACTATATAATATTAACTTATCTGTGCTATTACCTAGTTGGGCGGGTTCGAAGATGATTTGAGTAAGCTGTTAGTACCACATTGTATTTCGCCTACTTATATAGAGTAACTACTCGAATAATGCATATATAATTCAATAAATAGGCACATGGAATTTCGTTTGTAACATATTATTTACGTAGATTTTACTTAAATAAGTTTGTCAAAGATAATTGCTCTGTAGTCGCATAATAATGTAAGTATATGTCGTGACCAAATCGTAGAATAGGTAATATGAAGTAGTTTCGCGAAATGGTTGTATTTGATGAAATGTAACATTGGTCTTTCAATGTCAAGGCAAAAATTTAAGTGGATAAACATGGTTTGGTGATATAATCAAATAAATATACGGTTTTTTTTATGATATGGTCAGATACTGTAAGGTCGTAACAGAAAACAGATTCGTTTTTATCTTTAGCGATGTCAATTCCGCGTTGTTCACCTGTTAATATTATACGAGTATCATCATCATTGATACAAAATGGCAACCATAAACAAATCCGGTTGTCTTGCCTTCATAGTGTGATAATTAAGTAAGAAAGCCTATAAAATATGAAAGCCTAGTATACTATAAAACCAGTGAGTTTTATTGTCTATATTTATAAGGACACTCTATTTCATTTATCAAACCATCCTTAAACAACAATACTTATTACTAAGCTTTGGTAATATGTTTTGCGATATCCCCACAGCTACATCATGAAATGCTACTACAAATTTAACGAAATTGTAGACTAATTTTGAAATTAACCATTCCACGATATGTGCACGACATATACCCCTATTACACAACTACACAGTCAGTACATCCGACTAGAACCGAGTAGATGACCAAACTCAGGGTCATCTTTAGTCAGCCAGTCATTAGCGTTGTTAATTTAACATTATTCAACGGGTAATCGCCGGTAAAACAAAAGATCATGGCCTAATTTTACCACAAAGGAGGACAATTGTCTATACACAAAAAGAAAAATACACTAATGTCTAACAATCGAACTAGGTAATAGATTAACATTGTATAGAATATCAAGTAACTAATACCATCACATGGTCTGTATGGTCGCTGGCCATCATTACGGTATAAAAAGGAAGAGAACTTAGAACATTTCATAAAACAAAATGAACCTAACTAAATATGTTGTTACGGGGAATACAAATTAACTAAATTAAATTACTTATATATTAATAATATAAATATAAACCATTGAAAACAAATAAATTATTAAAAAAGAGATACCGTTGTTCATTAACAGAACAAGCTACGCCATCTATGAGCGGCTCTATACATAAAGACGTATGTCCGTAGCAAATAATTGCAATGTGCGACGGTAGAGGGACCTCGATTATCGTAAATAACTTCGTCAAAAAAATAATTTGTAAAAAAGCAAAAACAAAACCAATTGACAAAAGTAATTAATCATTCATTGATTATGAGAAGTAATATTTTTTGTAGTCGACTATATATTCTCCTCAAGTCTCAGACCAGACAATTTATGGCACACCCATCCTAAAATAAATCATTGGGAGAAATGTATTGTTAATAATGTATGTTTTTGACTGGGCCCTAATGAAAATAAGAGCTATGAAGTATCCTACATAATCCTTATCAATTCTCCATGATAAACTACATAAACTGATTTCAAATAGACTACCGAAATATGACTAGTCTATATCGTATTTATTCCTATACTGACAATGATATAATGATATCATTTGTTATATCTAGTACATCTGTATGCCCAAAAAAGTAGCAATCAATTTGTGTCGCTAATGGGATACAACATATAGTGATAAATATATCATTATATGCTTATTAGACCGTATAAAGACATTTGTTAAAATGTCTTTAGTTCTATCAAAAAAGATAATCATTTTCATTTAGGATACCACATTAGCAACTATTAATTATAATGATGATAATGATTTGTTTGTAACAAGAAAGTGAATATGCAGGTAAAAAGTAGGCCACTCACCTACGAGGTGTACTATCAGCACACGGTTTCTTCTTTCGCCACCGTAATAAACCATTAAAAGCTCGTTTTGGAAAAACAGGCTTCAATAATTTCCAACGCTTTCTTAAATCCAGACTCCTGTTGGTATTCTGAGACTCTGTACTTCGGCCAACACTTAAAATGTCAGGTTCAGAACTACTTTTTCTAATGTCATTTACATTAGTAGTATATTTGGTACACTTTTCAAAATCATTCACAGTCACACAATCACTAGATGGGTAGGATTTGCGTTTAGATAACGGAGTCGACGTAACAAAATTTTCGTTTATTTTTTTACTATTTTCACTAAATACTGTATAATCCAACATATCTTCGTTTATACTGTGTAATTTTGATACTATATTCTTCGGTGGACATCTTTCATTCAAAATACTATTTTCTCTAAAATTTTGACTTTTAATCTTATGATTTACGTCGACAAATGCGGTGATGTCTTCACAGCTTTTAGCATCATATTTAAATAATTTCGTATGATGTTCATCTCTTCTCGGATTTGGATGTATATCTATTGCACCCACAACGCTAGTTAGATTATCTTCGCTTTTGGACATAACTTTCAATCTTGCCAAAAGTTTTTTTTGCCTCGGTGGACGGGTCGGTGGTGTTTCTATATTGTTTGAGAAATATGGCTCGAGCGTTCTCTTATGAGGCTTGGAATACTTTGCAATAATTCTATTAATTTCAGCGCTGTTTTTGCGTCTGTTTGTGTGTCGTTTGAAGCTGACTGGTTGTTGATAAGAATCGATCACACTTGCACCGGTGACCCGCGCTGACCTAGCGCGCCATTCTGATACTTTGTCCTCCACCAACCGGTGCAGTTCCAGCGTACGCATTATAGACCCTATCTCAGGCATGTTGAAACTTTATACTCTTACAACAAAGGTTTGGTACTTTCTTTGGTGCCGTTACTTAATATTTGAGTAGTTAGTGCATTATATCCTTTTAATATTGTTTATACCAAATGTAGAAGTCGAGTCTTTTGTCCCTTATATCTGTAACAAAGAATTTTTAATTACAATTACACCAGTAAGGCTAATCTAGTTAGGATACTTAATAAAAACATTAAATACCCATAAAGAAAGCAAAAGTAAACTGAATCATTCGACAAGATAATGCCTTTAATAAAACGTCCTTTAAAGACGTCAATAAAGGGCATTGCACCCAGTTATATTAATGACTTCAATTATACAATTTTTGCCAAGATCAAAGACTATTCGGGACTGAAATATCTAGTTCCTACTTACCTACCTATTTATCATCAATACAAGTATTTGCATAAGATTAGGTATACAAACTTGATATAGTCTGGTAGATACCAACATTTTGCAATACCGCATCAAGGTACCTAACTGATGTGGTATTACGAAATGATGGTATCTTTATCTATTACTAGACTTTAGTCGCAACTTCATCTGTGTGATCAACACATATTATTTGACCGGAAATGACTTATCTATTGAGGTATTTTAGGACTTAATAGATTATATATAGTACCTATGATTGGGGTATTTTATCAACAGACCATAAAACAAAACAATGATTTTTAGAATTTTTGTCTATTTTTAATGCATATCTCACTGTTTTCGATTTTCCCTAATGTATTGTGGTACACATCATATATATTTGTATTTTTATCTCTGTTCTATTTCAATAATTTAACAATAAAAAAAATGAAAATTAGTATTGTTCCTGCGTTAGCTACTACCACGACTACGAAGTCGCGTGCTCAGCCGTACTGTACCTATCAAATACATTAATATTATTATAGAGTTATAACTATAATTATATATTGTTAATTATAATAATAACAATACATACCGTAGAAACTAACTCTTTAATTACAAGTATAAATATGATAACAAATAATATTTTGAACAGTGACTTCTTGCTATTAGGTAGTAAATATGGATAAGATTTCATTCCAATCGCAATGGTGACTACTGTGGCAGCGTCCTTGCAGTATTCTTTTAATTTCATCCGTCTTCACCGACAGTAAGCTATTAATGCATAATACGTACCAAACAAACGGAAGTTACGAAAATATTCAATAACCATTGTGGAAATAAGTAATTTCATATCCAATTTGTATCTCACTTTTCAAATAATTGCCATTCCTAGACGTTTCACTTTGATAGATAACCAAAACACGACTAACTAAACCACCTTTACATCATCGGTTTAAAATAACAATGACATTAATATTAGATAAAATAATACGGATGGTTATTTTGTTATGTACGATTTTGAACAGAAAGGATTATATTAAAACTATGCCTATAAGATGTCTGTAATAGTGTCCATTTATACATCTGTACACTTACAAAATTAAAAGACGAATACACACGTTGATCACTGTTTACAATAGAAATAAATACATTTCGGCGATATCAAAACATTTAAGAAACATTTCTAGAGTGTCCACCTATATAGATAAGTGATATCAAGTTCTAGAGATATGTACCTAAAATCTTGAAGATAAACGTCGCGTTATTCAGAAAATGTTCCTGCGATTATTTCGAAGCAACAATTTACACTTTCGTGCCTATTGTAAAAATTAATGTAACCTAGGTAAATATATTTTTAATTCTCAGTAAACATTTAACACACACACAACAATTTCTGTACTGAACGAATGGTACGTTAACAAAAGCGAGAGTTGTTTCTTATACAAAACAATAAAATTAGAACAAAGTCAGAGCTAAATGCTCACCGCGACAAATTCACTAGGAATTAGCCAAGTTGTTTTTGAGAGGAAAGTGATCGCAGGTCCAGCTAATATGGAACTTACAAATGAGGCCTTTGGTCCCCATTGCAAACCTCGCCATCGCCTAATTAGAATAGAGTACATCCACTTGTAAACCTTTCTAAATTCTACAATGAGTACTTACCTCCATGTACTAGCGTTTTGAAATCCATTGTTCTTAATGTTAGACATGCCAACTGAATCCCAACCACAAAACATACGAATTACGAGATAACAGTCTCATATGCATAATAAATAACACATAGTTACATATGACTCATAAAAAACTTCTGCCATGAAATTACATAATTGTATCTCGTATATTTTCACTTTGTTTAACGGCAAACACTAATAACCGTATTAAGTATTAGAAATTACATTTTTTTAATCTATTGTTGAGTAAGGGCTTGTATACACTAACAGAAACTCAACAAGGCTTCTTGTGTTATGGAGTGATAGTGCGTCATATAACAAGCACGTGCAGCAACACCACGTGCGGACTATACAGTGAGCCACCTCGCCGTTCCAGGCGGACGCTCCTGCACTTGACTCACGGGCACAACATTAAAAGACTTGCCCATCCGCTAACATTACAATGGGTTCAATAGAGCATCCACAGTAAATATGTAGAGTTACAATTATTGTTACTAGACCAAATGGAAAAAATATGTAACTTCTTTTTCAATGAAACAAAGCAGTAAACTCTATTTTCAAAATACTTTTATCTTTGTATATAAAAAGATCTTCTGATAACCTACAAACACCATGAGCAAACATTATTAAACGTCTGTCTGCAAAACACTACTCAAACAAACTCCAGTTTCAGTTGGAATTGGACTGTTTTTATAATGTATTCACGTCTACTTAACATACTTTTCCTATTACTACTTCTATGCTACTGGATAACAGTATATTTTTTAAATGGTTCATAATAGGGTGTTGTACTTGCCTCCGCTAACAGTATACGCTGGTGGAACACTAATGAAGGAAGACGATCTCGTCTTCCTTGGAAAGGAAGGAAGTCTCGTCTTTCTTGAAGGAAGACGATCTCGTCGACCTGACCTCATACTCATCTGAGTATGAGGTCAGGTCAGTCGGTCCATCGAGACAAATACACAAAGAACTAATCACGTTAATTGTCAGGGGTGGGCACATGGAAGTCAACTAGATATGGTACACGGCTAGTAAAGTGTTCCTACTAGTACCAAATTAACAACGCCTTTAAGCGTATTATATGATACATATATGTAATTAGATTACGAAGATCTCAATCAATCGTATACCAAAAGTCTCAAAGCAATGAACTATACATTGAGAATCATATTAAACGATTAAGCAATTTATCATCATCTATAAATTCTTATGTTTAGTCACTGGATAGTACAAATGCTTTATGGTTCTTAAGATATGCTGGTGCAAGGAAGTATAAAAACGCGCGGTATTATAGAAGTCTCTCCTAACTAATTGTTACCCGCGAATTCGTTTGCACGAACATTCACTGCCTCTTTCACCAGTTTCTCCAATATATATTTTTTTAAATAAAAATACTTTATGTTCGTATCTTCATATCAAATGAGTCGTTTAGGAAGGAAAAGGATTGTTAGTAATGTGGACAGATAACCACATTGCTAGAATGTACCATCTCAGGTTGACCTCCACGTGATTGCCCCTGGAAACCATCGTGATAAATTCATAGTGAATATACTATGATGGGCTAACTGATCTGACCTCATAGTCATCTTATCATCCTCCACTAGTGTCCAGTCCATTAACATCCATAAAAAAAACAGCCGTTTGTCGTGAACAAATAGACAGACAGACACTGTTTTGTATCAGTATGAATTTATTTTATTATTTCCTTTGAAACTCTCATAATAACTTATAATGTACATAAATTAGCACCATTCTTATTTCGTTAACTGTAATTTGTTTAAAATTAATGAAAATAAAATTATTCCAAATTCGAAATTAGGTTTCTGCTCAGTAGTGAACCGTCAAGCAGTCGGTATAGTGGAATAGAGTATTCTGTATAGAATGTAGTTTGCCACTATCTGTGTTATAGATGTAATGTTAAGCGGGGCATTGTTCGCAGCTGCGGGCGTGACAACTGCTTCCGCCAAGTTCATTGTCATAGCTGCACTCGAGTTGCCGTTACGTCGATGATGGCGCCCCAATATGACCCCGCCTTTGTAATATGTAAAGAAATCTCAACAATAAACTATTTTATATATCATTAGCAGCATTTTTCTATTTGTAATAACGACTAAACTAAAATATTTATTTGAGTATTTATAGTCAATAGACTGTAAATAACAACTTTAGGTAAATACCTAATAATGATTATGCTTATGGCATTGAAGTTTCGACGTAATAAATAGTAAGACTATATTTAAGTCAAGTATTGAGCCAAGGTAGAGTAGTAGTAGTACACCAGTTCCAGCAGTGTCTAATTCGCAAACTGGAAGTAATATTACTCAAGATCTGTTAAGTTTACTTTAGTGCAATATTAAACTCCTATTGCCCGAGAGACCTTTCAGCTCCACTTTCTCGCTTGCTATATTTAAACAAAAAAGTTCTCGAGCCTTTCCGATGTAAAGGGCGATCCATGTTCGCTGCCTTTCTCACTAAATGAAGAAGAAAAATAATCACAGAGGTTTCTAATTTTTTTTACGATATGTGATATACATATTATTTGGTTGGTTTTGATTATAGAATATTGTCAGCGACTTTAGTAAAAAAAGTAACTTAACAAAATAGGTTACAACGTAAATAATGTCCTGAAGTACCAACTACAAGTACAATCGTACAGGAAACTACTCCATGCATCGGCGAACCTAAGTGAAATTCATGTTAAGACCAACGGCAACCCAATATTTACATTTATATATTGTGGTTAAGTAGATAAAATTATAATTGTTGATGATACTGTATAATTATAGCCACCTACGTGAACTAGATTAGGTATGTAAACTAATTATGACGATGTTCATTATGTCAACACATGATTAATTGCAAGGTTGCTGAGCGATATTATATTTATAGACTGACAATTTCTACAAACCTGTGAAATTCGTTCTATAAAATAGATTCATCACTGCACAAATTAAATTTAATATATGAATAATAATGGAAAAATGCACTTGCGTTAAAAGTATAACCTGGAGCAGATGATAGTGATAGTTGTCAGGATGTGTCATACCATTGGATGATGACAGGGTGGCACGAAATCAGATTCGTTGGTCCTTCGTAGCGGATTTACCAAGAATAATAAACAATTGTTTACTAGAATTCACCCTAATATATTAGCAATGCGAGCACTACCACTACTCCCTATTACTTACAAATAGTTACAATCCCCTTTCCTTCCTACCCGATATACTTTTTTTATACAACGTAGGTGGCAAATAAGCATACGGCTCATCTGATGATAAACGTTTACCGTACCCTATGGACGCCTGAAACACTGTTATTCTTACAGGCATTGTTAAGAGATTAGGTATTACGATTATGTAACACTCAACTTCTTAACAATGCGTTTCATCCGTTGTCTTCATACATATACCTATTTAGATGCATGTACCTTGCATAAATGCTTGGGGAATTCGCTAGAAATATACATAAATGTCACAGCAGTCTAATTGCCTCTCAATTTCAATTGCAGTGCATGGCAGTCTGATATTAATTCGGAACTTATGAAATATTAATCCAAGTATTATTTTAAGAAGGTCAAGTTTGGTTTTAACATTAATTTATGTTTTACTATGTACTCTTATGTTCGGTGTTGTTCGTAGTGACCAGTTCGCCGTGAAATGTCGAGTATCTCAATTGCTTAAATTAACTTAAATTAAGGATCAACCCAACTGTATATATACGACAGGCTAGTCGCTCAATTAAGAAGGATAATGGCTAATATATTTGAGAGTTTCTTAGAAGTATTCACAACTATTTCCTAGAAGCACCAGATAATTATACTCATAATTAGTTTAAGGTGTACAAGTTTAAAGTTGAACGAACATTTTTTTGTAATTCGAATAGTAAAGACCCTGATAGTCCACCTGATTGAAAGTGGCAACTTTCGCCTAAAGACACGATCAAGATATTTCACATCATTAGATGATACCTGTATTATCCCACATACATTGTCATTGTGATAAAAAATATGAGATGCATAAGAGGTCGAAAGATTTCTACTTGAAGAAATATTTTTTTAGTGTGACTCTGAGTTCTAATGTATACGATAGATTCTCCCCTTGATATACTTAGTACCGTCTTGATCACTTACTGTCTTGATTATGTTTTATTTATCCTCCTTAGGAACATGATCACATAATTAGGTTTATAGTGTACTAACTAGTAGATTGTCAATGCCGACATTTTCTAATTGTTACGTGTAAATTTCACTACTTTTCCTAAGTGACATCGAACTGACGGCCCCTGGCCACGCATATAAATCATAAAGGATCACCTAATTTTCTAATTGCCTCAAAGTATTCGTACAAAGTATTGACTCATTAGTATGCACCACTTGTAGCTTTACGGGACCGTGTGTAGCATTGTTAGAGTATCCGAGTCATCGGTCTTTGATCCCGAATTCGATAAGGAGAAAGTTGAATTTCACCAAAACAAAGCCCCACCAACCTGTCATAACTCAGTAAAAATACATCAATGAAAAACAATTTAATTTCTTAATTTATTATTTATACAAATTCTAACTAGAATAAATAAATAAATAAGTAATAATTATTTCAGACTATTCTGATGGCACCCAAATGTTTCCAAAAACTATCTAAAGAGTTGTGTCCGATCTTTGCATCGTATTTGCCCTGAAAGAAATAATTTTATTACTATTTACTAGAATAAGAATTTTGCGAAACGTTTCTCGATTACGCAATAGAAACTATTACACAGCATATTGATTAAGTACTTTCAACATCTGTTGTTTTATCAACTAGTCCTAGAGCACATGGTCGAGGTTTATTCAGTGAATATAAACTGTATAAGTACCTTAAATAAGGTTGAAATTCGTATATATCATCGATAACTCTGCGCACGCGACACGTGATGCTGCATGACGGTTGTTGCTGACCGTAAACATGGATGGCCCGTTCTAGAAGTTGCTGTATAGACGTCAGCTCCGTCACTGTGTGTAGCGAAAAAAAACAATTATAGACAACATACTACACACAAAGATATATATAACCCACTTAGAGATACAAAAGTTAGTTACTGTAGAATACTGTAGATACTTAAATGTAATCCTAGTAAGTGGCTACAACTTTAAACTAAGTTATGAAAATGTTCCAGTTAGCTACTTGAGTTAATGTGATACTGTATCCTCGACGGGGCGCTCGTGGAATTTATTTATTTTTAAATAAAAAAAAATCTAAAATATAAGTAGCCTACCTTAATGTTAATCTTATAAGGAGATAACATTGGCTATCAGCCAGTGAAAGTCTCGTCAAAATCGACCTAGCCGTTTGAGAGACTACAAAAACAAGTGGACTGTCTGTCTTTCTATATACTTGTTCACCAAATAAATTATGTTTTGATGCAAGGGCCATACATACTTTCATATTCATTTAGTAAAAAGCTGTAAATTTGAAATTACAAACAGACACGTCTAATTTATTTATTTGTAGAATAAAATATATAATCAACTATCTGTTGAATCTAGAATCTACTTTTCCTTCTCTGGGTTCTCAGTTTGGGTCAGATCTTACTTCATAAAGATACCTAATATTAATCTGATTTGTATTATTGTGTCCAGGAAGGCTTGTTACATAGTTATTTCTATTTTTGCTATTAATATTCATGTTCTACACTTACACTACACACATAGATAATAATAAATAACCCCGATATTCACATATACTAGATGGCAGATCTAGTCTAAAACAATTTTGAATTATAGTTATATCTAAATAATTAATAGATATGCGTAAATATAGTTACTGAACTAATGTAAATAATCAGGAATGTTAGTTCGGGACTCGAAATTGCGATCGTAGAATAATAAGTTAATGTGCTAAGCTACACCAAGGTGGTGGCTATACCGCCACCAAAATCCCATAAAAATATATATCAAATAAATTGATTATAAAATAAATTGTAAAAAAAATGTTAACTTACAGTTTTTGTTCCCAAATCGCCGTTCGTCTTCATCGTTCGCATTATTGCTGTCTTTCTTAAAACTTATTAATTTTGGTATGACCAGCAACATACACACTACAGCAAGCATAGTGACTAATTTCTTGAAAATCAAAAATTTCAACAATAATTTAGCAATAGTCAAAATGTCAAGTTTCAGAGACAGTTTGTCGAAGAAACCGAAACCCGGCGATGTGTACGGAACACCATACGTAGGTTTCAAGGGTGGTCCATATACGGGCGGTAAAGGTTTATGAACTGGTGGTCCATAAGTTTGCGCTGGTGGTCCATATATTGGAGCAGGTGGTCCATATATCTGCGCAGGTGGTCCATACGACTGCGCGGGAGGTCCATAATTTTGTGCAGGGGGCCCATAACTTGAAGACGGGGGTCCATAAGTATTTGGAGGTGCGTTATAAGTTATATCTGATTCAAACTTTACTGGCGTACGACTTGGTGGCGAATAACTGGAACTTGACGGTCCAGAAAAGCTCCCCGGACCAGAAGAACTGAAACTATTATCACTGGAATAAGGCGTGTAGTCGTATCCACTGTTATAACTATCGTCGCGATTCGAAATCTTCTTTTCGCCGTCTTTTGCAGTTATTATCACAACTCCTTGCTTAGCCTTTTCAGCTTCAATTCGAGATTTTGAGTAAGCATCTAAATATGTGTCTGTTTTCAGAGAACTCAATTTAGTACTCGTACTGTTTCCAATAGGTCCTACGATTGCGGTAACACATATGACAAGAGGCAAAATCGCTATGTAATACCGTAGCCACACCATTTTGCAACTTAACACCCGCACTGCCGCCCCAAAGAAGTTGCTGCCATCGACTACCGTTGACGAATGATAGGCGCCATTGAATTCTGTTCAGTTTTCACTTTTGACTTACAGTAAAAGAGCCTTAATATGATAATGGAACACAATTAAATTCTGAGTGCGACCCCTGCGTTCCGCATTGCTCATGATAAGTAGGTGCGCGTGCGTGCGGTTCGCATGCTAATACGCCTTAGAGGCAACGCGCACCAACCTTCTTGGATGAACCGCCCCAAACCTCGGGACCTTTCATCGCATAAATAATCTTTAATAGAACTCAATTTGTTTGTGAAAGTTTTATTGCCGGCAATGCCACTGACGTCGTTATATTGACCTTACTTAAATGGGTGAACTTCACCTTAATGTCCTTCCTTTTTAAGAAATGATATAGTAAAAGTAAGTAGACAATGTTACAATGTTACAACACGACGTCATAATAGAGAAAATCGACGTATCTAAATCTAAACAACAATGTTTATATAGATAGTTCATAGTTTGACTTTATAACTTATTATTACAGCTTACCTTTATAATCAGTAATGAACACGTACATATAATTTTGGCACTCGTTATAATATTAATAACGAGTGCCAAAATTATATGTACGTAAGAGCAGAAACCGCTATTTTGAAATTGTCACTGGTAGGTGGTTATTATAGCTGTATAGGTTATTATATGTATCTACAATAAAATAGATATATATTATTTTATATGGAACGAATAGGTATTAAATATCTGATAAAAACTATTTTTTTAAGGGACCATGATTGGATTACCCGCCAGCGTTAATGATTTACACTGACGGGACATCAGTGGAGGATTATAGGATGAGTATGAAGTCAGGTCAGTTAGCCCGTCGTGAAAAATTCACTAGGAATTTATCACAATGATTTCCAGGGGGAACCGAGCGGAGGTCAACCTGACATGGTACATTGCCAGCAACAGGGTCATCAGTCCACATTACTAACAATTCCCTTTCCCTCTATAAAAACTATTAGTAATATAATCTTAAATTATTAAGAAATAGTCTATGGAAGTTTTATAATTTGTCTGCCCATTATTTACATGCCATTAAATCCTAAAATTGCTAGAAGCGATATGTAACGTCAACAGCTTTAATTGTATTTAAATTATTGCTGATTTCCCCTAATCTGCAATGCAAGCCATGTTATTTTCACTTACGATGTTAAAGGAAAACAAAATTATGTACTATAGTCAGGACTGGGTACTGGGAAAAGATATTTTAGATTATCGACATTAAATACTCGCCATATGTAGGTATATTTAATATTATAAAACACACAATAACCATAAAAAGCTTTTGAAAATATTTTTGAATGGTAGACTCAAAAGTCAACCTCAACCTCGATGTCGCAGTCACAGTCGGTAATAATTAATAACATCATACCTGCATTTTTTTTTATTTTCTTATCCATTTGTTTCGTTAAAACTGCTATCTGCTGATTAATAATAACTTCTCTAAAGCAAAATACGGAAATCACGCGTTCTTAAAAATATTTATTAATTTCTATTGTTATTGTTACATCAAGTACCATTTCTATTTCGTTATCGTTACATCAACTACTATTAATATTGAAATAAAAACTAAATTTAAACAATATTTATTTTAGTCATATCAGTCAAAAGCATCAGAACCAACTGTTAAGCATCTTTCTTCAAAGAACTTATGTTTTCTCCTTATTTTTCCATTACCCTCCAATTTAGGTGAAAAAAAAGAACTGATCGACTTGGTACCAGCCCTAACTTTCTTTTTGGGATTGTCTTCATCCACATCTTCAAATGTACAAGTAGCAGCTTTGTCTTGTAGCATGAGTTCTGCTGTTGACCAACTAAACCTCACCAAGAGTGGGTAACCAAATATGTTGTCAATTTGATCTCGAATAAATTTTTTGGTCAATGGATCTGAAATTTCCAATAAAATCAAATATAAGGAAGCTGTTACCAAAATACTCACAGGTAAGAAATAGACAAGAACAAATTACATTTTAGGATACTGTTAATTCTGTGATATATAAAAATATTTTTATATTACTAAACATAGTTAAATAGTAACTAATTGTAAACAATAATAAAACAAGTAACAATCCTCGTTTATCATTTCTAATCAATATTGGCTTGTTTATGGAATTGAATTACACAATATAACATGCATTAATTGATCTTATAAAATAACTTACCTCCAGGATAACCACTGCCAAACTCAGTATGATTCATTTCCAAACCTTCATGAAATTTCCAAACTTTAAGTGCATGATCTCTGGTTACTTTCGCAACTATACTTGCTGCTGATACTATAGGATAGATGGAATCAGCCTTTTTTGCTACCTAAAATTGATATTATTTCATTTATTTCAACTTTTATATATTAAAGATTTCAGAAACTACTAAACAATTTGTTTTATTCCACTAGAAACTATTTTTAAAATATTTACAACACATAAAAACATACCATTCCAGTTGGGGTAGTTAGAGGCAATGTTTAAAGTGTGGAGAAATTAAAATTTAACTTGCCCACAATTTGCTACATATATTTGAATCCAACATGACAGTGGAAGAGCTACAACCATATCTGTTTTTTTTGCTTTAATATCTGGTGTTTTTTCACTAGAGTCAGTCAGTAATAATAAATTGACACGCAAGGTATTTTTGTTTTGGTGTTAACCAGATCTGATTGCACTGCCTCTTATGTGTAATTCAACATAGTAAACCACTAGGCAAAAGTCTTTATAAAGAGAAATCAGTAGTAGGGTATAAATAATACAAAGTATTTACTTACAGTGATTTTAAAATCTGGGAATATTTGCGACAGTTTAGTTTGGTACTTTTCAGGTGGACCCACTGTATCTACATAAACTTCAACAATATTGACACCAGAAGAATGCACTTTTGTTATAAGATCTATAGCTGAGTTCATTGATACCTGAAAAAAATGTTGAAGTAGAAATATTGGCTTTTCTATAAAATAGTGTTAGTATACCCATCATAGTATTACATGATGGGTACAAGGAAACATTGTTATTTCAACTATGTCATAGCTATAAAATAAATGTCCAGATTAGAAAATAAATGTCATCTGTGTAGGTATCGTAGTTTGACCTATTTCAGCTGTCTATGAACTGGCTATATAATTTGTGTTGCAGTTGTAGGGTGCAATTAAGCAGTGAAATAACAAGATAACCTCTTATCTGTGAATGGTGACACATAAGTGGTATCACAGGTGCCACATTATAATACAATGTCCATAATGATGAAATATACAATAATATAGGTGATGATGACATCTTACAATTAGGTGGCCATCAATTTGTTTACCATTATGATTACATGTAAAGTAGTACAAAGTACCTAAATAGTATGTGGAGATTCTGACTAGTAAAATTATTAAGATAGATCTGCCTTTACTATTTACATCAGATTCTTCAAAAGATCAGTACAAAACAGTATCCCCGCCTTTTATAATTCAGGGCTACTCTTTTGCCTTTTATAATTCCTACACAACAACAAGTTTATTTGCTTACTTCATTCAAAGAATGCTTAGCTCTTCTGTACATTGAATTTGAAATATAATTAGGTGATATGATTTCTGCAGTCCAACCAACATTTTTCAATGCTTCATCATCTGTGAGTATTTTAGTGAATATTTCATCCCTTTTCTCCTCAGTCAACGCCTTTGAATCAGCACAACCTAGATTTTCCAGTATTTTATTCTGACTTTTTGGACAATATGCAACTCCATAAACCATTGGACCTGAAATGTAATATTAACAACTTTCATCATGTGTAATTTCAACATTTTTCATCATTATTAATAGTTGCCAATATACATGAGCAGCACCATAGACATTACAAAATGTATAATAATAATAGACTTGTATATTATAAATCTTTGTTTTGTTTCCTGAATGTGTGACATGTGATAGTAACTGCTGAAATTAGTGTTAGTAATGGGGGCTCTTGACCGACGTCGACCGCTACACTGTCTCTCTTGCAAATCAATTCCTGGGAATGATTGACCTAGCTATATGCTCAACCTATCATTCTCTACTGTTACCGTTACTGTTGGCACAGGCGAGTGCACCAACAGACGTTTTATTATTACAATTCTGAATTATCGATATAATATTATTCTGGTATCAGATACGCCGTACACATACATAAAAGTAAAATTTATCTATGTAATTTGACAGGTGTTTGTTAATTTATTCTGTACGGTATACGGTTTTGGGATAGATTAAAATATAATAAATTAGATTAAAAAGTAGAAGTAACTGAACTATTATAGCATTTCATATTTACCTAAAACTGGGCCTCGACCTGCTTCATCCACCCCTAAAATACATGGCTCTGATTTACATAGAGACGGCACTTGTGAGCTGTTAATAAAATTTCGATAATTGTCATTACTCTTTATATAATCTTGTAATGCTTGCAATGAATCCATTTTGTACCTATTTTTTATTTCAATTCATTTCGAAAATTAATATGTGATAAATAAACAATTAATTTCCCGCCAGTCTAATGTAGCAAGTACATTACTTTTTTTTTTTTTTTTTCATATTCGTCCATCTCCTTTTCAGTGATGGAACAGGCAAAGATCCTTAGACCGTACAGCCTGCAAGTACATTACATTGCAAAGATAAGAAAGAAGACTTCAGTTGTGACAACATGTTTTGACATTGACGGTACTTAAGAGGACTATTACAAAATGATGCCGCTCAACTTTAGGTTTAATCGCATGGATTTACGCACACACACAGCAATACACGCACACAGACGCAAATAACCGTGTAGCTCAATCGGTGTGGATTTAGTATGAACCATTTTGATCCTTGTAATATTTTAATTAATAATGTGATATGTTTCTACTTAACTGAGACTACTTATTGGATTTTTTTAAATAACGTTATTTATCTTAATTATCAAAGTGCTAATAATGACCATATTTTTTTATTATATTATTCCTAGAGGGTTGATGTCAGGATGCTGGCCGATTGTACAACTAAAAGCCAAAACCTTAAGTAATATGAGTAACAAATAATTGGGATAAGGACAGGAAGATGAAATTACTATAACATAAATTTACTAATTAATTCTTCTTACATATTAATTCAGTTTATTTATTAATAGATACAATATAATTTATTATAAGAGTCGGATACATTATTGCCATATTCACTTGTTCTAAATATTATACTTAGCAAATAATTATTTTATTTATATATAATAGTTGTGTTTTCAAGGCTTTGTTTTGATTTAAAGGTCCCATCCTTATATGTATATTAGGTGTGTCCGCGACTTCGTTAGCGTGGTATAATGAAATTGACCAAATAAAGGAAATATATTTAGATTATAACCTAAAAAAGTTTCTTTGTTTCTTTCATCTCCGCTTTTAATCCCTTACAATACTTTTTTCGCACTATAAAGTAGTCTATGACCTTTCTCAGGGTATACTATCTGTGTATATGTATATCTATCTATATAGACTACCAGTGTATATATATGGTAGTGAATTTACAAGGTACAGGGGAATAACACCCGAGTTTTCAGGAATGGCAACGCATGAGGGAAACAATGTGCTGATATGAACATGGCAGGTACTGCTCATGTATATAGGCGACGGTTACCCCTTTCCATCAGGAGAGCCGTCAGCTTGTTTGCCATTCTAAGTTGTAAAAAAAGCTTCAACTGCTATCATTGCTGTTCCTGCATCATTGACGTCGCCGCATGATATTGGCTGATATTGCAGCTTCTCGTTCTTGGTTGGCCGATTCTTGATTCTTGATAAATAATTAATTGTTAATGTCAAACCTTTTTATAAATTATTATAAGACGCCTCATTGATTATATGTAATGAAATCACCATGAGCTATAGAGATTTTGGACAGAACCTTAAAAGACCTTAGAAACACCTCTGCTCTCATTGGCGGGATTACTTTTATACTTTTGCTGGAGATTTCTGAAAGACTCTCTGTGTCATTAACATCGTCTCCCTTATGGACTTTAATTGAAAGTTTAAAACTACTGACAAATTTGAGAGCTCATTTTTATGGAAGCACAGATAGTGATTTCCCATAAATGCTCAAACTTGAGGAAGGAATTTCTCAAAAGCATGATCCAGTCATGAAATTTAAGCCCGCCGAACATGTGCAATGGCGTCCCATTGGATATATTGCTTACTAAAGAATTGAAAGACAATTTAATTGTAGACCATTATAACCGGTACGTTAGCTGGGCAACCAGCTTATATACCAAGAATACCGATGATTCCAACTGATCTGCCAATACCATTTTAACGGCTTCAATTTCCGGTTAAAATATCATCTACACATGTAATAGATCTATGTATGTTTTGATCTTAAAAAACTACGAAGATTTTGATTCGTTGTTATTTAATAGACAGAATAGATAGACTCAAGAGGAAGGTTTATATATAACGTCCCAATACTGTACACGGATCTTTAAACGCGCGATAACCTATATATCCCATATTCACGCGGGCGAAGCCGCGAGCTAAAAGCTAGTCTCTAAATAAAAACATTTATAATGTTGTTGACTTTTCACCCAAACACGCATAATTATTTGACATAACTGTACAGTAATGAAAGTCCAACGAGTATAATAACAGAATAGCTGCAATTTAGAAATATCTGTATTGTGTAAAATAAAATAAAATTGGATAAAATATCTCTAAACATTAAGGAATATAATTTATATATAATTTGGTAATTTATTTACAATCCACATTGCATACTAGATGATATACACTATATAACACAAGACAAATGTACGTAAAAATAATAATGGTATTTTTATGAACAATAACCCTATTTTAATTTAGAAAAAAACTACAAAATAAACATAGAGTAAAATTGGTTTACATTTTTCTCTCAGATAAGCGTTATTTTTAAAAATACTAAAATGTTCTCTTTTTTAATTTTAACAATTAATTGCCATTAGTGTGACGAAATACCATGCTCTTGTGCTTTTCATAGTCCAGCAGGGTAGGTAGGTTTTATTTGTAGCATAACTGTACTTTTGTCTTGGCATGCTAAAATAAATATTATTATTATATATATATATGTATATATATATTTAACAACAACTTTAAATTAATATTCGTAGAAATAAGTATATATTAGCAAAATTAATTAAATATTACTTAAATTATCAAAATGGTTTAGTCGCTCTATACTAATGTTCACTGACGAATGTCTTATCTTAGCGGTGTTGTAAAAAATAGCATAGGTCCTACCTCGACGAGCGCTAGCGCAGCACTGAGAATTTACTTTTGGCGCAACGGAATTTATACAACTTTAAATTATTATTATTGTTTATTTTTTTCTTAGAAACTTATATATTTTTTTTATATTTCTAATTTACAAGTATATTAACTTTATTATTATGTTTTTTTTATGCAAAAATTTCGTTGTATTTATGAGAAAATTAGAAATGATTATGGCAAAGTTTTGTTGAAATTTCGGGTTTCATTATGATCAATTTTTTAGATATTTAAGTTGAAAATGAAGAAAAGGACGATGCTGTCTCAATTTATAAAGTAATTATCAAGTTTTAGTACAAATATCATATCAATTTATGTTTGTTTATTAATGAACGACGACCCCAAACTTCTGTCATTTAGCGTTTTTGAATAAACTATTTTAGAAATTAGGAAGACTAACAAAGAGAAAATTAACATTTCAAAGATGTTGTTTTTAAGATTAGATATCTATCTATATAATTCAGGAATCAAAATGTATATCCGACTCTTAATTTCTTAGAACCAGAACCCCAAAGACACTGCTTTTAGGCCAAAAAATGTGAAAGGCCTCTTAATACACTTGTTCTCGATCCGTTTTAATACTTCCTTTTTGGCTTGAAGGCAACATCGACATGAAGAAAAAATATAGAAGATCCATATTTTTCTCCAATGTTCATGTATTAATATATTTAGGTACTTTATTAAGCGATAATAAAACGAGGTTTTACGAAGGATCGTTTTCTGAGAATTCTCGCACAGAGTCTGTGAAATAAAGGTAATAATAATTGATTAAAAAAGTACATTATTTCATAATATTGTATTTTTCTGAGTATAATCATAATGACTGTGATATTTTCATATAAATAATTTGTTATTAATAGTTGTTAAATATTTTCTCCTTGAAATCAAAAGAAAACGAAAAAAGAATTAATTTAATGTAATTATTGAAATTGAATTATTAATTTATTATACTAGTTTTTTTATTTTATTTATTTTAATTACAATTTGATGGCGCCACCTTCGTGTCGCTACACATGCAAAATAAAATATGTATTGAAAGTATCGTTATCGAGTATAACATGAATCGATATATCGAAATTATTCAACAATAATCGACATCGACAAATCTTGTAAACTCTATAACTACAGCTATATCTAATATCTATATCGTATTATTTTTAATTTTAGATGTAGAAAATAAAGGTGTCATTCAAATTTATACTGTTTATATTCGGTCGTCCGTGTGAGGTAAATAAATGGATCATTTTCATTATTTTGTTATAATTTAAGGTGTAAGTTATCAATCCGTTAATTCCTGAATACTCATTTGTAGGTTAGAATAGTGCGATCTAATATGCAGAACAACCCCCAGGAGCTTTCATGGCAGGCGATTCAAGCTATCGTTGGGGTTAAACTTCCTTCAAATGTGCTACGATTTGATGATATTGGATTCCATTTGGTTAATAATTCTGTTTCGAGTGCTGAAGATTCCGATTCAGATGTGGAAATCGTGGAAAACGATTGGGAATCTGACAACAATGTCTCTTCGAAGCCTGAAAACTCTGACAATGAAAAAAATACATCATCAGACAGAGAACAAAGTGAGTCGCCTGTTCTACATCTTGTAGAGCCTGACAACAATAATTCAGGTAAAGACTCTCTAGATTACAAAGACTTTTTAGAAAAAATGCCTACCAAAGATAATACTGACAGAGATAGGCTGTCCCAGGTTCACAATGAAGACGCCGATAGCTCTAATGGCAATGTTATGTCTATTGAAAATTATTTGGAAGTAACCTTGTCGACTGAATCTGACACTAGTCATACTTGCAGCCAATGTAACCAAATGTTTTCCAGTGAACAGTTACTCTCTTCTCACCCTTGCAGTGCCAAAGCCACAGATGATAAAAAGTACCCATGTCATGTATGCTCAGAAAAATTCCCTAGTTATTGGGAACTAAGAAAACACATGAACAGTCATTTTCCTGGAATGTTAGATTCCAAATCAAGTTTCTGTCATCTTTGCCAGAAAGACTACACAAAGACAGGATTTATGAATCATCTTCGTAAGCATACTGGAGAGAGACCATTTGTCTGTGAGCTTTGCCATAAAGCATTCTCACAATCAAGTTCTCTCTCTATACATATGAAATTCCATCTGAATGTGCGTAAACATGCTTGTACTGTGTGTGAGAAGAAATTTGTAACTAAAAGTGAACTGTCTCGTCATATGACTGTTCACACAAAACAGAAGTCTTATTACTGTGGTGTTTGTGACAAAGCTTTTACTCGCTCAGATAATATGAAGAAGCATGAGAAAACTCATGGATAGCTTACAGTAACAAAGAGTTCATCTATCATAAATAGCATCATGTGCAGTTAGTTTATACTGACATGTAAATACTTTAGTAGCTTGTTACATTCATGAGACACTGTATTGTAATTGTCAATAATGTCACTGTAACAAAGTACAACAGTGCTTACATATTTGTACACATGACTATACAACATTAAACATATGGAAAAAAAAATTAATACACTGGTGATAGCATTTTTGAAAATTAAGTTTAATGTCTGTGATGCCATTTATAGATATGTCGCCAGATTCTCTAATTGCCAAATATTTAGTCTTACTTTTTAATTTTAAAATTTCATTATTTTATACCAAATTAAAAAAATATGATCTAGTTCATAATTTAGTCATTATGGTGTGTTTATGGGGGTGTTATTACATCCTAGGTGTGCTGCTGTAGTTGCTTTTCAATATAATGATTTTATTTATGCAATGTTCTAATGCATGTTTGGGATAATGTTAGTGTTGTAAGATAACAGCCTTTACAGGTGCTCTATAAGAAAAGTATCATATCTCAAAGTAAAGTTGCCTTTTAATATGTCAAAGTGATATTTTAATACTTGAATATAGATCACATAACTATAGTAGTACTGTGTAGTATAGTAGTAAGTATGCCAATGGCCTTCTTTTGCTAATGTTTCATAAAATAGACACACCTTTTATAAAAGGTTGTGGATATTCTATACTTGTTCCTGTTTCAAACTGAAGCTTTAGTATTACATTCATAATATGTGTGAACTTTACTAGATGTAGTTTATACTTTAAAAACATGCCAAATTTTAGATTAAGTATTTCAAGAGATGTCTACTGAACTGTGTTGTAACCAAAGCAATAATGTTGTTAATTATGTAATACTATTTATATACATTTGTATACATACATGTATACCAAAATATTTTTAGACCTTATAACTTTGATATTAAATTGAAAGAAACAAATAAGTTTGTATGTGTAGGTAAGTTGATAATGAAAACTGTGAAACATACAAGAGTCTTTATACAAATATCTTGTTATTTTTCAAGGCACTTTTTAGAAGGTTTCCTCTTTTATGGTCTCAAGAGAAGTCTAGTGAGCCGTTTTGAACAATAGAATGTTAGGAACATTCAAGCTATATGACTAGGCCTAAGATTCTATAGAACTAATAAATCAAACATCACATTAGTATATAGAAAATAACTAATTTTTATAGCGTAATTTTTGTAGTTTTATAATCATAAATGTGAAATTTTTACATCACTGTTTGACATTTGAAGAAACATAACTTTTTAAAAGATATACACCAAATATAACCAAAATCCCAAAGATAAACTAATTATAATTGGCTAAGAAATGAATATTAATATAAATATACTTTATTTTTCGATTGTGCCACTTCGATTTTATGTACTGGTTGTATTTAGATTTGTATAATGTTTATATTTAGCAATAATCATATTTTAATATATTTATTATACTTATTTAATTATTAGATGTTTTTGCATGACTTGTTTATAGATTTAGGAATACGTATAAATAGTAATGAGCCAAATGAGAAAATTACACAAAAATCTACAAGACTGACAATAATATTCAGAGTAGATATTAACTTGTGCACAAAAGCCTATATTATTTATTGATAAACTGCAATTTTTGTAACTATTTAAAAATGCACCTTGTTATAAATTCATCATGACAATTAGAATAAGAACCGTTTAATATTAAATGAAACTATTTTATGGAAATATGTAATAATTTGTCGATTTTATTAAAGAGTTGTTTGTTGCAAGATATGTTTCATTTTCATATTAACTATTATAGGTCCTTTTTCCCTTTGTTCTAGGTTACACTAGAGATGTCTGCAAGGTTGCGTAATCTTAATCCTTATGAATTACATAAATACCTAGTTAATGTATATTGCCTAAATGAGAAGGGCTCTACAAAACTTTTGAGACGTGATACCTCTAATGATCGCACTGATTTGGATGTAATCAGAGGAAACCACAAATTTCTTTGGGATGAAGACGATGTCGCCGACACCTGGGAAAAACAGTTGGCTAAAAAATATTATGACAAACTCTTCAAAGAATACTGTATTTGTGATCTAAGTCGGTTTAAAGAAAATAAAGTAAGTTATTAAGAGAAATAGATCGTAGATCATATTATATTAAATATCGTTATACTAATTTATACAAGTAGATATTAACTTTAGAAAGGGAATAAGGTATAAACCAAAACTGAGATATATTAACAAATTTAAAGTCGTTTACCGAAGGTAAAATTGTACTTAATGCATGCACTCAATTCTCCCCTAGGTTAAAAGGCTGATATGGGGACGGTCCCCTGTGTTACTCAATTGCCTTTTTTTGCCGTAGCGACCTTCCTTTGTGTGATATACCGGGGAGTGCAACAATGGCTCTACTGCCTTTCTGTAAGCTAAATATAGCATCCGTACGATATGCGTGCACCCGCGCGCGACCCACTCGTAGTCGCAGTAGGCACACATCTGCTCTGCCAGTTTAATGGGGAAGCGGAGAGATTATACCATTGTGAATAGATCCAAAGAAATTACGTTCTAGATAATATTTTATAATTCTGATATTTACAAAACAGTTTATTATTTAAGTATTTTGTACGTTATGAACCCATTTTATTTTAATTGCTTTCGATTTTACCTATACTTACGTTAATAGAAAATAACTATGTATCTAATACAAACGTTAATGAACCTCAAGCTCTCCGTAATAAACGCCGTTATAACTGGAGTGGGTTTTTGAAATAAAGAGCGACTTTCTTTGTTACTTGAAGGTATTTGTGTGCTAAATGATGAAAAAGAAATCAGATAAGTTAATGCGCGGCACGTGAATAGGATTCCATGATTTCAACCGTTACAACAGCCAAGCCATATCTACTAATATTATAAATGAGACCTATCAGTTTGTTGTTACCTTTTCACTACTAAACAGATCTTGATGAAAAAGTAAACATAAGCGCGGGTAATAGCTACCTATATAGGCATAGGTATGGAATTAATGTTATGAAGGGATAAACTCATAAAAATACTTGCGTAATTTTAATATTTCTATCGAGAATAACATGAGGCTGTATTTTCCAATAGGAAAATTAGAAATTTATAATAGTTCTGGGCGTCCGATGAAGTGTACAAAATTACACTTAAGTACTAGCACAAATAAAATAATATTACATAGTACTAGGTAAACTTCACTATAAGATAATATTTAATATACCTATCCAGTCGGGGGGAAGACGATAGTAATGTGGAGTAATATCCCCATTGATTGCAATGTACCATGTTAGGTTGACCCCATTCCCGTAGAAACCAATGTGATACATTCTTGGGGAATTTGCTACAATGAACTAACTGACCCGAGCTCATCAATCTCCATTGTTGAGCCAGCGTAAACCGTAAGCGCAGGCGAGTACACTATTCCATTACAACCATTAAAAAATGGCTATTCCTGCTTCAGCCGGCTTCATGACTACAATTACCTCTACCTCAGTAGTAGACTTCTATTGATAATATTTAAAAAAGATTATCAATTGCTGATACCTACCATTTCAAACACAGCCGGTTTATATGCCACATGGGGGAAGCGGATTGGTAGTAACGTGGAATAATATTGCTAGCAATGTACCATGTCAGGTTGATCTCTACGCGGTTCCCCCTAAACTATCATGTTAAATTCCTGGTGAATTTGGCACCATGAGCTGACTCAAATAACCTCATACTCATCTTATCATCCTCCACTGGTGTCCCGCCAGCGTATACCGTGAACGCAAGCGAGAGCATCATTCCATTAGGCGATCCCTTAAAAATATATATACTTATACTACATTTCTGTTTAAAAATATATAAATACCTATTACAAGTAGTCTTCAAAGATAACAAACAGAGAGACCATTTCGCATTTATAATTTTACAAACGTTTAATAATATAAATTATCATATAATAAAATACATTGATGTAGGTTGCTCTGAGATGGCGTGTCGAGAAAGAAGTAGTTCTTGGAAAGGGCCAGTTTCAATGCGGCAACAAGCAATGTAACAACGTTAACGATCTCAAGTCATGGGAAGTTAATTTTGCATACTTGGAAAACCGAATAAAGAAAAATGCTTTGGTGAAACTTCGTAAGTTGGAACCAACTATTTATCAAGCACCTACCTAATAATAACTTAGTTAAAATTGTAGCTAATAACAATCTCGATAACTTCTACTTTAACTAAAAAAAAATACATTTTTATCATGTGGTCTGTCTTTACATGATGATTTTTTTAATGTAAATGGAATGGCAAACAAGTTAGTAATAACCGTTTCGGTTGCATATTTGCGTATAAAAGAACAGCACTGACATCAGATTCGTTAACGTCCGGTGAAGCTGTAAAGGTCAGCTGCGGCCAACGGCTATAGTAGTCCAAAAAAAAAATCAGATTCTCATTTGACGCACATGATAATACTCTTGCGTTGCCATTCCATTCAAGGGCTAATGTCAGTCAATAGGCTTATAATTTCAATGCCTTATAATTTTTACACAGCTTACAATTTTTTTTACCGTCTGAAATAGCTGTGGATCAGTTACTAAATTTTTATAATAAAAGGCTTTTCTGTATGACAATAATGTGCAAGTACCACCAACATGCGATGGCAACCAGATACCGTCGCCTATAGACATACATAAACTATTTAAAACTTAGGTGTTATGTCGCCGCTTATTCAGTTAGATTACCATAACCATCTCACTCTTCTAATCGGATGTACTTTTAATAATATATTTGGCAGGTTTATGTCCAGAATGTTCTGTTAAACTAAACTACAAATCGCAGAAACGGGAAATAAAAAGACTAAAAAAAGCACATAAAAAAAGACACAAGGATAAAGAAAAAAATAAATCATATAGCGAGGACAGCGGGGAGGAAGAGAATCCATCTGTTACTCCTTCTGATGAGCCCTCTACATCCCAAGACCCTAAGGATACCACTAGTAGTAGTGATTCTTTATGGAAGAAAGGTCTGCATTTGAACAATTTAATCATTATATTTAGTATATAAAATTGATATAAAGCTAGGTATATAATACATTTTTTTAAACCCTTTGTACACGTTGATTCTTAACTACTTGTTACGTTATAGAGGTAAGATTTTCTCAGAAATTTGCTAATGTATTTGAGTGCGGTTTTCACTTTACTAAAAACCAAAAGTTGTCAAAAATATTCAGTTACATTGAAATCTTTGGAACAGGTGTTTTCAACACCCATATGAAAACCTATATAAAGCATAAAAAAGTAAACTTTCGAATACCACGAGGTCAGAGCCAAAGTTAGTTTTATTTTAAAATTTGCGGCACAACTGCTGTTTTGTGGTTACAAATCTTTTGTGTTCAAAATTACGTTTGTTCTATAAAAATAGTATTTAACTATAGTATTAAATTGAATTGATTGTAAATATTCTAATTTAGTTAAGTAATTTAAGATTTAATGTGTATATGTAATAATGAATTGTCAGAATAAATTGAGGCAATTTTTGGGGTCGGCCAGAATCGAACTCGTAACCTTTGAAAGTAAGTGGGGATAGTAAGTAATGGACATATTCGTTGGATATACAGCAGTAAATATAAGTTACTCTTGAATTCATCACAGTTGCACTCAAGACATAATTCTTGCTTAACAACAAGAGCACTCATTTTAAATGTGATGGATTATACTTTTTATTTCAGAATCAATGTCCCTAATAGTAACTAGTAAGACACGACGTTTTCTCATTACGATAAATCAACCAATTCCATATTGTTATTATTTCAGCACCCCAAGACGTAGAAGAAAAATCTAGAGAGGAAGAATTTGAAGATTATTTAGCAGACTTATTATTATAAGAGAAATAAAACAATAAATAAAAGATTACTACTCTGTTTATTGGGTATTATTACATGGAATAGATATTCATACAAAAATGTAAACAATTAGATATTTTATAACTATACACACTAAGAACACAAAATCAACATCAGTCCTTTCCATTCACGATTTGAGATTTCAATATTTGTACTAGATACCACAGACATGGATATTATATATAAATTTATGATACTGCAAACACCGTCAGGTTTCGACTTTATATTACATACACATATTCTGTATATGATAAATTGTAAAAAGTTTAGAGGATTTATAAAAATATTATTACAGATGGTATTGCTTTGGGTATGTAATCATCATCTTATATGTGCTTTGGGCATTGGATTGTTATACAAATATATATATTTTATGAAAAGTATAAAAGAGATATATATATAAGGCAAGTTTTGTAGTGATAAACTTCAATTTATTAACAAATTTGCTTCGTAAAACTCTATCCTATATCTGTGATACCTACACACTGCGTTTAAACTATATCAAATAATCATTGTTTATAAAATAAATGACATAATTTATAATAAAACATATTAAGCTCAAGTCTGAAATACATTTCAAAATGAACATATTTTAATATTCATTACAAAATCAACAGGATTGGACAAATAAAATCTCAAATAATAAAACAATACATTATTATAACATAATATAATCATATCTATTTACAGAGTGCATTCTTATCACACAACAACAATCAACAAATTAGTAATTATATATAATTATACGGTAAAACTAATCACTATTTTGGAATTATTTATTATATTTGTTTATTCTCTCATTAGAACGTAGCAAAAGCCTCTAAATGTTGGTTAGAATAGAAAGCATGTCGTAGCCTCAATATCTGTTAACTAACGTACCTTCGTCTCATTCACTAACGAAAACCTAATTATATATCACACGTCTAACTTCATTGTTTCAGTTATCCAACCATAACACTATAGCAACCCTGTTCATTTATTTAAATATAGAAAGCTTATGGAGTCGAAAATACTGAAAATAAAATATTATGAAATATGCGACAAATCTATAAAATGAACTATACACTTCTTGGAAACAGTAACTTGGCAGTTATTTTCCAATCGCTCCGGACTGTACTACAATCAAAACAAATAGTCACAGGATCGTTTGTATTGAAAAAAGATAAAAAGAATGTAAACGGTATTCAAGTACCCTTCTCTACAAGTTCAAATTGGGACAAACGACAGACGAACATATTGCATATACGTGTATGTACTAATTCAGATATATATAGTATTTTTTCCATAGGTTGCACAGTTAGCAAAATAATATAAGTCAGAAAAACATATTAACATTCAGATATAAGTAGCTTTCATTTCGCCATTAATATGTTTTTTCCGACTTATTATTATTATCAAATAATAAAGTATAAATAGCACTGAAAGAAATTATGAATTTAGATACTAGTGCTGTCTCAGTTTATCTCATATATGTGGTAATGAAACTATCAGTAGACTCATCTGCTAATGTGGCCGATTCATTTGACATTGATGTACAGACAGTACTAATAAATATCGAAGCAATAAACACAACCTGACAAAAGCTACTCATAAACACATAATAACATAGCTAAGAATTGTAAATTAGTTTAGCATCTCTATTTTTTAATATATATATATCCTATAGAGGCGTTTTAGGCTCAATATCCGTAGGCTCACAAGTAAAGACAAAGTTGACAAATGTATCCCAATTTCCAATAGTTCTTATTATAGCCTTCAACATCAATCGTAATTGTAAAATAACTCATATTTCCTACCCACGAAGTGGTATCAAATATGATATTCTATAGTCTGCAGAATGCCTTTGTTTTTTGTGCACGCACTAGAAATGACAAATTTATTTGCTAGAGCCATCATGTTTGAATTCTGACATTGTGATTAAATGTATTTATAAATTTAAACTCTTGAGAAAAACATTAGATATTTATATTTGGCACACTGTCTAAATAATAACATAGTGCGTCAAATATAAATATATAATGTTTTTCTCAGTAAGTTTCCAGTGATATATTATTATGTATGTGAAACAAATCACCTAACTACTAATTATGGCAATCTTTTCAGGAAATGATTAAATTCGAACAACTTTTAACTTTTTAGTAGTGAACAATTAGATACTAAAACCAAAAATCTATTTTCCAACTATATCCACGAAATCTGGCAGTGGATAATAATAATAATTATATCATTACGTAACGACCTATAAATCACAGAATTGACTTTCAAATAATGTTTATGATGTTACAGTAAAGTAATTATGACTGAAAATAACAGTGCAAAATTACTTTAGCTTAGTGTACCAATCGAAAGCAGTTATGACTGTTATTCTTGCAATCATAATTACTTTTTTTTCTGTAACATAATATACCTCAGAAGATAGTTATTGATATAGATGCCGTTTATTTGATTTGTGCAGACTTGTTGACTTCTTCATCATCGGAGCAATCTTCGTCATGGGTATGGGTCAGTTGGCGTGGAGTTTCAGGTCGCACATGGGGTACAGACACGGGGATCTGAAAGATGTAACTCTAATTAACTACTTTGCTAACTTGTAAGATGTGAGCGTTGTGCAGATGTTGGCTGCTCAGTGGTTCATTGCCTCAACTTAAAGACCTCAATGATCATGAGGTCGGTTCTGGAAACATTAAAAACTTTATCTGTTTAAACTTCTAACTCTACGGTACAGGATTTTAATCAACGGTATAACTTACAGTTGGTTTATGTGAGTGCGCTAGTATGTATACAAAAACTACTGAACTGATTTTCATGTAAATTTAATCTACCAGAGGAATTCTTGACGTATTAGTAATATAATAAGAACAGGTAAACATAGCGGCTCAAGAATAATAAAAAAAGAACTGGACAGGATCCGGTGTCTTGCCTTTTTTAAGTGGAGATAGTAGAAACATAGATTGATATATTTGTTTGCCACTGTATTCGTAGAAGGGTAGATTATATACCTACGCCAGAAAAAAATATTAAGGACAATTCACATGTACCTTAGAAGTTAGTATGTGATAAAAACGATTAAACGCTTACTTTATTATCAACAGCCTCTGGTGCCACTGTGGCGACATCTTCGGACGTATCTTCAGATATGCTCACACTAGCGACGCTGAACGCCCTCTGAGCACTCGGGTGTCTGGATCTAATAAACAGATGTTCATATATTCACTACACAAACATGACTTTACACGCATATTTTTATGTCCGTCATCTGGAATGACAATTAATCTGATGTACATAAGTAACCGTCGTGGCCGTAATCGTCATCTATATATATATATATGAACAGCACCATGGTCAACACGTCATAATGTAATATCCAGATACCCCTTCAACGTTCCCATTTCGAAGAATCAAGGTGTCACACTTCTATATGTACCTACCCTTCAATTACACTGCCCTTTTACGCGGACCACTTCGTAATGAATCTTTATACAATGTACAATAATATTTATTAAAAACGTAAAAAGCTTAGTTTAATTCGAACAGGAGTTAAGCCGTTATAGCAAGGTTATCAGTGTCGCTACTGTACAGCAGAATCGTTCAGTAAATTGAATAAAATTAGGACATAATGTAGAGCAGTTAAATAATAAATCACAATCCAAGGATGTCCAATAGAATACAATAGATCATATGTATTCAGCGACATAGATATGTATCATATCCTTGTCACGTAAATAGATTTAATAGTATGCAGTCCAAATTACTGTATATGATTCATTGTGGATAAAATATCTTACATATGCTATTTGAAGAAAATATCCAACAAAACACACGTATGATAATTCGAAAAGAACATGATTTCGTATTATTGTACGGACGCACGATAACTGAAAACATCTAAACTATTATTATAATGAGGAAAGATTTTTTTACATTTTCCTTATGCTCATCTAATTATCCTCCACTGGAGCCCCGTCAACGTATACCTCTAGCGCAGGCGGGAGCCCATTAAAAATGTTATATATAGATAGAAATATGAAACATGAAGTTCTCAGTAAGTAGTTTGTATACCTGTCAATGGTGGGCGCGTCAAGGGTGAACCGTTGCTCGTGCGCGACGGTAGACTCATGCGGCATGAGCATCGCCGGCGCGCGGAACATGTAGCAGAATGGGTAGTACATCAGATTCAGGAACGAGGCTGCATACAAGTCCGCATACCTCACCACCTGCCAAGACGCAACGACATACGATGTATAACAAATGGCTGCCTTTACAAATACGCTCTATAACGTGGGAATCGGCTTTCAAGCAGAAAAGAATGTACATGTAAACGTAGACAAAGAGAACGATAAGAATGCGCGTGCTACATGCCCGAGCATTCTCGTGTTCTTCAATAGTTAAGTACAACACACCATTTTGTAATTATTAATTATCATTTCAAAATAGAGGATATCTGAGTACTTAGTGCAAAGATATAATAATAGAGTTATTGATAATTTAAATATAATAAAATAGCGTGATCACAAAAAATAGTAAAATTATAAACACGATTGCGAGCTCCTGATAGCGCGTGAAAGCATATGATTTAGGTTATTACTGTACTGAAACTAGAGATATGGAATTAAATAATAATTAGTTAAACTAATTATTATTTAAAACTCCTTTTTTTAAATTGACTTTTCAATATATAAGGATTTTATTCTTGCAATATTCTCAATATGCTTCTATAAAAATGTTATACCTGTGATGAGAAAAACGTCTGTCTAGATCCTGAACGGAACAGCGATCCTAGCATGCCGTATGCGAGGTCCATCTTGTGTGTCACATCACGGATGGCCATACGTAGCTTCGATATATCCGGCTTCTCCTTCGTACTCGAATCGAGGTCCCTATAAATGTCATTAGATTAATAATAATAAAAATGGCGGATCAAAGTTTTAATTAGCATCAGAAATTTGTCATTTTTATTAGACATAAAAATTGACTAAGCATCAGTCATTCATTTATATACGTAGACAATGGAACATGAAATACTCAAAATAATATCAACCTCCTGCCATATAGTAGGCACTACCATGACTTAATAACATACATAATAAAGACAATAATGTTCTCTATAAATTATTTGTAAATACCAGATGTACGTATTTTTATAGAAACAGTGCAGTTGACACTTGACCATTTTTATTACGTAACGTTGTTTTTGTTGTTTTGAAATAGTCCCAAGTTTGATAAACACAGAGCATAGTAGATATAGGCTAAACGTAACAATTCCCAAATTTGTTTCATTCCAGCCTACAAAAGTAAGTTAGTGAAGGGATAATTCCGGAATAAAAAAATAGAGCTAAATTTAACTACTAAACACACATTGAGTAAACATTTTCGCGGAAATAAAACGGGCGGGAAAATTAATAATGAAAATGGAGTGTAAATAAAATTACTCACTTGTACATATCTCCTAACTGTACATCAAGGTTTTGTAGTTGCGCAAACAGCTGACACTTATCCGTCCAAACATGTAATTCCTGCACTAATTCAGGTACTATTAAAAATGTCCGCCATCCGCCAATTTTTTTTGACTTGAGAATATCGCCGAAAATGTGGTCGCCTATGTACAGGACGTCTTTGCCTTTAGCGCCAATTAGTTCGGTGAAAACGTCGCAAGAACCTACAAGAGATTAGAGACTTAAACCAACGCACGTAGGTATATACAGGAAGAATCAAAAATGTACATTCAGGCGGCATCCAAAAATAACCAAGTTCATATTTGTTTCGGACATTAATAGCTTGTATTTAGAATATGTTATTTTATGCTCATGGCATCGTAAACAAGGTGACAGAACAGCTAATGCTATGTGGTAATCTTTGTTTGTTTAGGGTCATCCGCAATGAGGATGCAGTTTGGGGCCTCGGGGTGAGCCCCTTTGCCCTGACATCGACTCCGGGGCCAACAACCCTGGAACTGGTTTAGCAGCCTGTGGTATGCAGTTCTTCTTTACATTTTTTACAAAACAATTTACAACTAAATGTTAAGATCTAGTGCAATATTTGAGGACTTTTTTTGTCACCTACGTACATCACAATATCGCCCGTGACCACTTTTACGTTGCCATTCCGTGACTAAGATCTCATGCCTCCTGTACTCTGTAAATTCACTGCACATTACACCGTGGAAACAAACTACATCTTACAAATTAAACTTAAAAAACTCACATGTCCTTGAATTAATCCTGAATCAGCTGAATTATATATGATACCACTTGTAGAAACACAACATGTATGTATATATATGTACTGTTATTTACTTCATAACATGATATTGCTATCAAAGGTCAATAGTATAAATGTTATAGTATAATATTGCAACTATAAATAGCAACTATGGTATTTTCCTTATGTACATCAATTTAAATTAAAAAAAAACAAAGAATTTTAATTCAAAAGACCTTTAAGCTTAACATCTTACGTAGCTGTAAAGGCATTACATATTTGGTCCTTGTATTAATGAAATAGAATCTGACATCTTCATCATCTTCAATATTATAATATCGTCCCAGTCATAGTTAGTGCGTGTCTATGCTAATAAGACAAGGATATACCCTACCATAACTACACTTTGCACAATTTGCATAAATATTTTATGCATTTAGGTTTCGTAACAGTTCAAAAATTTAAAACAATGGGTTACATTATGTAACAAGGTTTGATAATATTCGGATATTTATAAAAATCTTGTAGTTTCATAAGATTTTAATTCTTAATAAAATCTGATCCTTCTACTAGTAAAGATATAATCTGACAAGGTTGTTGACATTGTGACATCCACAGAGTTTTCGATAATACACAATGTTTACATAAACTGCAAGGCAAACCGCAAAACCGAGTACAAGTTGTAACTACTCGTACAAATGACATAATAAATGTCATTTGTAGTGTAACATTCCACCTTAAAAACATTCAGTACGAGATAACTGTAAACCATATAAGGACGTACGTAATAAAAATTTGTAGTAAATACGAGTGTCTATGATAATAGATATCGTATCCATCGGACATGTCTGTTTGGATTTCTTTACTGTATGTAACGGTATTAAAAAGTTCCTCCTACTACTTTGTTACTTAAAAAAGTAATTAAATTAAATTATAGAAATGGGAAATAAAAGCATATCTTAATACATCGAAGTGAACATTTTAGAAGTAGGTATATCACGGTAAAGAACTTGGAGAATGTAACATAATCTTGCTCTTCTCTGTTAAATAGAATTTTAATATAGTGGTATAAGTGTGTAAATAATAAAAATAATATAGATCTACATTGTACTATTTACAAAAAAAAAAGACCCTAAATATACTAAACAAAACGCGGTTTTATGACTTAAAGCAATTTCTTACGGATAGAATATACAAATTTCCTGGGTAGTGGGCAGACGTGAGCAGTGATTTTAATAATTAATTAATTTGAACATATACCTCCAGAATATACTAATTTTTCATGCAGAGGGCCAACGTGGTGGCCCATCTTGAGAGCCCCGGTGCGGGTGTCCACCTGCCGGAGGGTGGTGCCTTCGCCGAAGAACAGCGGCTTTTTAGCGTCCACAACTATCCAGTCGAAATACGTCTTCCAATTCCTGTGTGGCTCTCCGGGCTGGAAATAAATAGCACCTGTCAAGAGAGATAGACAGAAAGAGGGGAATTGGAAGACCAAGACACAGGTATATCAAGCAGAAAAGTTAGAGTCATGTCTTAAAAATTAAATCTTTTTAGATTGAAGATCGTGGAATACTGTTGTCCGCAGCTGCCTAACAGTTTCACTGAGCATCTACATTTCAGTGTCTATACGATGATTATATATGAGTATGATTTAAAAGTACAAACTGTTCGAGTAGTTGTTAAATTAGTAAGAGCACTGGGCAAAACCGATCGGGAAAGATTCAAATTATTATCAATATATTCACAATAATAAAGATAGGGATAAGATTTGTTTAATTACATAGGCTGCATTACGGTGGGGTCACAATGTTAAGTATCTTATTATATAATACTGTACACATATTAAAATTGCAAAACATGTCTTGACTTACCTTAGCACCATGTGGAAAATCAAACAAGTAATTCATGATTTTATCAGTAAAGTTGTAATCGCTGTTAGTCAATATGAACAGTTTGGCTCCGCTTTCCGTAATTCTTGATAAGAACGTCGGCAGCCTTTCGTCTTTCTTCAAGTACAAAGGTAGATTTTCAATTGTTTTCTTTTTTAAATCTCCGTGTATATGCACGTAGTCTACTGCACTTCTGACGTCTTGGAAAATAGATTTAAATGACATTGCTAGGTCCCCGCATCTTACACCCGTCTTTTCTCTACAAAAGAAATTGTTTCCTTAAGTCCTTTTTGTAAGTGTTTAGTTTGCACTGTTTGTATTCAAAATTTACAATCTATTGTTAAAACCAATTGAGCTTAGTATATTATACAAGTAGTGTTGTTATCATATTTGTAGTCAACAAAAACGTCAACTGACTTTACAATGTTGACTGGCGACTTGTAGTGATCCTTTATTGTATGAACAATGAACTATTTAATTAGCAACTTAGTAGGTAACAAAATTGACTAAATATAGGTGCTGGCGCAAATAATTTAGCGTCTTGGTACAAAACACCTGTTTTGTACCAATACTTTTGTTGTCCTTTGTTGCCAAATAAAAAACTGAACCGCTCACCTAGTTCTGTAATGTCATACCACATTACAGTACTAGGTCAGCGGTTATATTATAAATAGTAGGATTGTGTATTTTACCATGAAGTGTTATTTAAGAAGTTTTATCTAAAAATAAACGTTGACTTCTAATAATCTGAGAGTAAGTGGGCATATCGACTGCAGTGTTTACCACTTATATTACTTAAGGTGAACCATAATATTATTAATATAAGATTATTTGTCGAAATCGTCAGATCTCCATGCTTTCAATTATAATTCGTATATTCTTTCCTTGACAGACAGCAACATTTCAAGTTCGTCAGTAGAGAAAAATAAAATTCAGATGTACGAGTATATGTACTTATAAATTATTTTATTTGAATAATGATTATTGTACTCTTTATCAACTCGTCATGTAAGATAATAATTTGTAATGTTTTGAAAACTAATACTAAAAATCTTAATATTGTAAATAGATAATTAAGGTTTAACTGATACAGGAATTTGGTATAGATAACTAGAATACGCAGCCAGACATAACTGTGTGCACAGTGTAGACTAATTGTCAGACTTACCTGGTATATTGCGGTGAATTTGTGAAAAAATCAATTAAACACGCTATTAGATATGTTTCAGGCAAATTAAACAGCGTGTTCAGCACATACACTCTCGACTCGTCTAGTGTTAAGAATTTATTGGGGTACAATTCGTATACTTGTGAACTGAAAAAAGACAATGAATGTCATTATATTTCAAATTATTTTTAAATATAAATTTATGAAAACAATTCTGTTTTAAGAATATTTTTTCATACTAAAATATGAATTATTCATAGTTGTCCAGATATGTGACATCTGGGCAATGTTTATTGGACTAATTGGAAACCTTGAATTGTCGGTATCGGTATCAAATACATTAGTAGGTGAACGTCATAAACTAACTTATAAACTAACTATACAAAAATTATACTATTTTATACTAATAGTCTGAACAGTACCGCACATCACGTAATCATTTGACGCCCATTGGTGAAAACTACGGGCTACAAATGTGTTCGCAATTCTCATTCCGGCGGATTAAGGGGTCATACCATAGGTACACGTAATATCACTGCCATATCTCATTCTTCCGATACAAACTTACCAAAGCATGCTGCTTGGTAACGAAAATAAATAATATTTGAACTGCGTTATCTAAATCATACTAGATAGTTACGCGACGTAACGATTTATTGAACAGACCATAAAGAAATACTTACTGTTTTAGAAATTCAAATCCGTGCACACACACTAAAATGTTACCATAAGCGTCTACTTTTAATAAGTTGCCATATAATGTGTCGAACCACAGACCTCTGAAACCAAAATTGAAAATTAGTAAATAGTAAGTTCATTAAACTGGTGCACTTAAAGTGGCCCTTGAATACTTACCTTACTGGAAATGAAGGGTCATATTCGAATTCTAATATTTCACTCGGATAGCCTTTATGTACTAATCTTTCTTTGGTTAAATTGAATCCTAATGTCTCATACTGAGGCGATTTGTATTCTGCAATAAAAAACTTTATTTTAAAATGTATGCCATAATTTATTTATGTGTGTGTAATTGTATGATCCAAGTATGCATATATAATTACATAATAGGCTTATCAATATCACGTACCAGCCAATGTATAATCCATATCAAACCCGTAGAACTTAACATTTTCTAGATGCAATGATCTATTTACAAAAATTCTGCAACAAAAATAAAATTGCCAATTATAATACTGTTTACGTTTTCACTCATTAACCATACCACTGTGCAGATCAATCGACGCTTATAATATTAAATTATAAGAGACCATTAAAAAACTGGACAAATTTAGGCTCCACGCTATGTTTATATATCAGTCAACAGTCAAGGACTCCTGAAATTTACAAGCAAACGAGAAAATTACGAGTGTTGGAGCTGCCGCAAACAGCTAGTTAAAAGATAGTTCAATTACAACAATTTAGATTTTTTGTACGTTCGTACTGGATAAATTAAAAAAAAGTAGTAACTTATTTTACTATTAGACAGTATATTATATGTACATCGGTACATTATTAGCGAAAAACAACTTGTACGTACGCGGCAGTGCCCAGAGTTAGTCTAAGATTAGTCTAGAGTTAAGTAGTAACTATTATAACCATGGCGGGCTTTGTTCACAAAAATGTACCTATATATCACTCATAATAGACATAAAATGTATTTAAACAACAGAACTACTAGTTCATGACTAGTTTATAATAAAATAAATTTTAAACTTCTAGTGTTAATAGCATTACATTTTAAAACAAATTCAAAAATATGGCACCAATAACGTGAATTATATATATCGTACCTAGTCAGATCTTTTCTATTTATGGAAAGTCATTTATAACAGCGGTGGCCAACTGACAACGCTATTACACATTCGTACGTTACAAATGTTATGCCTATATCACAGAGAATAAATATAGCAAGTACTGACCTATAGATATCGATTCAATACGAAATCAAATACTGTTTCCATTATATTTGATTAGAATTTATTGAATAAGCAAAACATTTAAACAAAACTATTATCAAAGCAAGTTATTTATTGTTTTTATGTTCATCTATGCAATATATTTAAGTTGTATAAATTTTAGATTATAAAATTACAATATAGATGATATTTCTAATTAATGGTTATAATTAAGACTACGGTGTCACTATTGTACCTACATCCAACTATGTTCAAATACTGGAAAACTATAAAGTTAACAAATATAAAAAATTGTAACCAATATTTAAAATAGTTATTCGTTCTTAATAAGTTGGGCAAAAGTTTAATGTTTACTTTTATTAGAATTGCATTAAAAATGTGTACGAGCATGTTTACATGTTTTAGCATGATTTGCGGTTTCAGAAATGGAAATAGAAATAGAAATAATCTTTATTCAAATAAACTCATTACAAGCACTTTTGAATAGTCATATTTTGATTCTACCACTCATTCGGAATGCAGATTCATCACAAGAAGAATGAGCAAGAAACTTGTGTGTTGCTCTTTTTAATAGATGTTTTTTTTTATATAAATAATTACAGTATAACAAGTAAGAGGCATGCGATAATCAACATAGAAGTCGCTACGCACTCATTATTAATGTAATCAGATAATATTGTCAGTGCTATAGATTTAAAGTTTTTCTATAAAAACATTATTATCGTTAACGAATTCTTCAATTTTATAGTAAGCTTTTTTGCAAAGGAACTGTTTTATTTGACATTTAAATCTTTTTTCTGGCAGATTTATAACAGACTCTGGTATTTTATTGTAAAACCTTATGCAATTGCCATAAAACGAATTACTAACTTTAGCCAAACGACATTTAGGTAAAATCAGTTTGTTATTGTTACGTAAGCTTTTATTAGTGCAATCACTAACTCTTTTGAAACTGTCTATATTCCTTCTGGCATAGATGATATTTTCATAAATGTATTGAGAAGCAACGGTGAGGATATTTGTTCCTTAAAACACTCTCGCAATGACTCCCTGGAACCCATACCATAAATGGAGCGAATGGCCCTCTTTTGTAAAGTAAATATTGTATTTATATCAGCTGCTTTGCCCCATAACAAAATACCATACGACATAATGCTATGGAAATAGCTAAAATAGACAAGTTTAGCCGTTGCCACGTCTGTTAATTGTCTAATTCTTCTTACCGCGTAAGCGGCAGAACTAAGTCGACTCGCCAATTTAGTAATATGAGCACCCCATTGCAACTTGGAATCTAATGTGATACCTAGAAATACAGTATCGTCAACAAAATTAATAGATTTATTGTCCAATACGATTTTTGAATCTACCGGCCTTACATTGGGGAGAGTAAATTTGATACATTTAGTTTTATTTGCATTTAGTAGCATATTATTTGCCGTAAACCATTTTAAAACATAAGAGAGAGAACCGTTTACTTCGTCCATATCATCAATATGTCGATTGACTTTAAATACTAATGAAGTATCATCAGCAAACAGCACTATGTCAGCTATCTTTTCTATACGATCTTCCATATAAGGAAGATCGTTTATGTAAACTAAAAATAAGAAAGGACCTAGAATAGAGCCCTGAGGAACACCCATTTTAATACTAGTTCCCTCAGACTTTACACCATTTATTTCAACAACTTGCATTCTATTATTTAGATAGGATTTCATCATGCATAGTGCTTCATATCTAATACCGTAATATTCTAATTTGAGTAAGAGTGTTTCATGATCAACGCAATCAAATGTTTTTGAGAGGTCACAGAATACACCGATAGCATCCTGTGACCTCTCCCAACAGTCAAAAATGTGTTTCATTAAAGCTACACCAGCGTCAGTAGTTGATTTACCGGCCGTGAAACCAAATTGCCGACTGTGAAGCAGTCTATTTATTTTAAAGTGGTGAAGCATCTGATTGAGCATAATTTTTTCAAACACTTTACTTAGTACTGGTAAGATAGAAATGGGCCTATAATTACCTACTTCAGTTTTATCCCCTAACTTAAAAAGTGGAGTTATTTTACTATGTTTCATTAAATTGGGAAAAACACCGTCAAAAATACATTTATTGAAGATAGTTACTAAATATGGAGCAATAACATCTATAGCGGTGTTAATAACTTTAACAGACATGCCCCAATGGTCTTCAGTATTTTTTAAATTTAATTGTTTAAATGTTTTCGTAATTGTAGCAATGTCAATAAATGTAAATTTAAATGTAACCGGACACGAAGCAACATTGTCAATAAGGAATGATTTAGCTGTACTTGGAGAAGAGTCCAAAGAGGACGTAATATCAGTTGGAATACTAGCGAAAAATTTTTCAAAAATATTGACTATTTCTTTTGTGGACGTTACTAGTTTATCATTATAATTTAACGTAAAATCATTATATGGACTTTTAACTTTGCCAGTTTCTTTATTAATAATATTCCACGCTGTCCTAATCTTATCCTTGGATTCTTTAATTTTTTTATTTAGATAATTAGACTTTGCTACATTACATACCTTTTTAAAAGTTTTTGAGTATCTTTTTACATAATTTACGAATGTGCTATCGAAACGGTATTTTTTTTGATCATATAAATCAAATAATATATTTCTACTTTTAAGAATTCCCTTTGTAGCCCATTGTGAAAATTTTGTTTTGTTACTAATATATAGTTTTTTTGTTAAAAGCCTTATTATACTCGTAAGAAACAATATTGAAGAAATCTGTATAAAGTTTGTTTGGTTCATCAGATTGAGGACAAAAATCTAATTTACTACGAACTGATATTTTAAATTTATTGATCTTATAACTAGTCAAGTCTCTTTTTAATAAATTAATTTTCCTAATTTTGTTTACGTGATTTGGAAAAATTACTAATTGACCACAGTGATCAGAAGGAAGGTTGTTTAATATTATTTTATCTAAATATTCACTGTTGCTAAATATGTTATCCAAACAAGTAGCAGACGTGGCTGTGATACAAGTGGGTTCGTGGAAGACATTACTCAAGTCAAAAGATTGAAATAAACTCATTAATTTAGTTTTTGTGGTGTTATGTGATAAAATGTCAACATTGAAATCACCACACACTATAAATTTTTTGTTAATATTAAATACTCTTTTTAAAATATCCTCCATTACCTCTTCAAATAAATTATAATCACTATTTGGAGGTCTATATACACACATAACTATATAATTTTCTAGTTCCACGCAGGAAATTTCAATATCAACACTCAACGGAAAGATTGCCAATATCACTACGTTCTTTTACTTTTATATTATTTTTCACCAATATCATGGAACCTCCTCTATTTACTATTTTTCTATTAAAGCAGCTGACAATATTATAATTGTTTATATCTTAACATCATATTGCTCACTTTGAGCCAATGTTCAGTTAAACATAGAACATCTATATTATTTTTTTCTAAAAACAATTGAATAATTAATTCACAGCCGAGAAAACTTTGTAAGTACTGTTCTGGTGAACAATTTTCAATTCTGATAGCTTTGTCTTTGTCTTTTTCAGCAGTTTAAATCTGCAGTCATATTTAAATTATTGTAAATAAAAGGATTCTTACTAGAATCAATATTTATGTCAATATTTTCAGAATGTATTAGTATTAACATTAGTACAAATACTACTAATTGGATTAGTGCAACCCATTATATTACTTATAATGGGGTCATTTATATTATAAGCTAGTAAACTAGCTATATTTCTTATTTGTTTTTTAGGCAGATAAAATCTATCTCCAGTCATACAAAAGTTTGTAACAAATTTGTTACTATCAAAAAATAAAAAGTCATTATGACGACAAGTCATATTATAAATTAAATTATTAATATAATATATGAACTTATTTTGTTCAATAGTCAGAGAATGACAGTAAGGAAATGCACATAAAATTATAATTTCACTTTTATTGTACGTAATTTCCTTTTGATTTTTTATACTCTGATACACATCGAGATTTTCCGTAAAAAATGCTGTAGGTATTACAGCCACTCGGACTTACGATAGCAATGTGTAACTGAAATAGATTTACATATATACCATATTGTATATCAGCATATGAACGAATTAGCTAAGTGCATGGATTCTGTATCAATTCAATCAATATTGATTAGTCAATGTTTATTATTATTAAGTAGCAGAAATATTGGAAATAATAATACCGGAAAGTTTTACGCATGTACATAGCCGGCAAACAGATAAATGAGTGTGTAAATATGGCTCTTCGTGTACCTACTGATTATTCATCTATTTATCTAAAGTCTCTGCTGATTCAAATACAGAAGAAATAATACTATATTTATTCTTGTTATCTTGTATCTACTTACTTTTGTCTTAAAATAGGTAGGGTAGGGGGAGAAGTTTATCAGTATCAGTAATAAACTATATATTGTAATGGGTGAAAACTGTCACTGTTACAACCTATGCAGTAGATACTATAAATGATGTAGTGGAATAATTTGAAGCATTATCGCTATAAAGTTGAAATTTTGCCGGCGTAGTCGGCTAGGTCAATGTGTTGCCTCTAATATGGTTGAGAACAATGATGGCTGGCTCATCCGTGATACTCGTGAACGGGTACTGCTTGTGGGGACTGGTTTGTTAGGGTTACGAAGGCTGATTAGACTGTTTGCTGATGGTCACTGTATTCTTCATAATTTGAATTTAAAAATTAATCATTATTATTGTAAAGATGTACAAACATATTTGAAAAGAATAGGAGCTGAGTTTCTTTTCATCTCTAAAACCTTCCGAACTAACGGACTAGATTTGACAGGTCATAAGATTCTGTAATAGACCTACATGAAAAAAGATATTTTGATTATGATTTTGTAATGTGTGGCTAGTGGACCCAATGCTAGCCAGTCGACCATATCAGGTCAAACTACATCGGTCTGCGTTAAAACCATTTTGTTAATTTCCGGTGAATACGACACGACGGGCTAACTGATCTGACATCGTGTTCACCTATTATTCAACACTTTTGGTTCGCCAGCGTGTAACGATTGCTTTTTATATAAAATTCATCCGTAATTTTTTTAATATGGTTCTAACCAATCCATTGGCCATCAAAAAAACATCAATCAATCTCAAGTCATAGCCATATTCACCTATATGATTGAAAAGTCAACGTTTCCAGGAAAGTACAATAATCAGTTGATACTTTGGCATATTCAGTAAAGTAAAATTAGACGACATTGAAAATCAAAGCGTCAGGTGATAGTCCAGATTTAACATTAGCGCTAATGTTGGTGGGTGTTATGTCCAGATTAATAAATAATGTAATAACATGGCGTCGGCGCATACGCAACTCGTTCTCAACACTCGCATACAATTCGATATGCAACTAGATAAGTTTCCAAGAACAATTACAATACTCAAATATTTTTAAGTACACATGTTTATCCTATCTTCTGTTTTGTGAATGTTAGTTATGTGTCATAAACACTTACCTTTATCTATGTAATTAATAGTAAATTAACTGAACCTGTCAAATTTAAATCCTAATACCTAAATAAATTACCTATTAAATATGAAATTAATGTTTACTGAAATAACTCGATAAAATGTTATCATGTATATAACTTCGTAGAACTAACCACCCAATCGTATGAGGAAGATCATATAACGATATGCAGTAATTATATTTATAAATCTTCATGAAGTACTCCTCAAAATGATAGGTAAAACGTGTCAGTGAGTTATTAATATTTTTAAGTGTAAAAAGTAACAGCAACCCTTATTTATTTTAAAAATAATGAGATATTTCTATAATAATTGCACAGGTCTGAAGACGTAGAGGGTGCCTAGTACAGCACCAATGCACTAGCTGTAAGTCGACAAGACCATTGGGTGTTTTTGTAACTTTACGTACGATATTTACGGTTCATTTCTATCATTCAAACAATGGTCGCGCACGGCAGAGGTTTTGAAATGCCGGAAATTAATAGAGCTCCATATAAATGCATACATTACGATTTCCTGGTGTTTCGTGACGGTAAAATATTTGTAGTGAGTTCATGAATTTATCACAGTGTGATAAATTTATGAACTCACTACAACCTATTTTTGATAATAGAACAATCGTCGTAATCCAATGAATAATTAAGTGCTTAGTAGTCTGAAAAAATAAAACCCGTGTACCTATAGCGCGTATTGTTTTTGCCTAGTTTCTAGATCGACGAGGTTTTATATTGTCGTGTAATTTGTCTACATAATATCAGCTTCACTAGATTTCCATTCCACTTTAATTTCATGTTGGTTACATAATACATTACGAATAGGGGCAAAGGTCAAAGTATTTTTAATTAGACCTGCACATCAGGCAATATACAACTTGAATACACTCGAATACTACAAAAACAACACAGAATTAAGTATACTCAGAACAAATTTCCGGCCAGCAACGTCAAAGAAATGTATTCTGATTCATATTTATATGACTAAACAAATCTCTTGTCTACACAGAATTCTATGCTTTTAGTTTAGAACAATGATATTTAAATGTACACTGCAGAGACTGCGTAGTTTAACTGGTAGACCGCATTCATAATCCAGTACTAGAAGAACAAGTTAGTCGAAAGAAAGTGTCGTTGCAAAAATAAGGGCATGTTACGTTGATTTGTACAAGTGGAACGAAAGTGGAAAGACGAAACTAATACACAGAGCGTGTATGAAAAAAGGATAGAGGGGCTTAGGCACTCTGTTCTGTCAGGATATCGCGTAAGCATGAAGACGTCATAGTTTAATTAATTATGTATATAACATTATTCCTTTTTAATACTTATGTATGTAATATGTATACGCAATATTTGTTATTTCTATATTATATACATTATTTTATATTATAACACTTTATTGCACCAACATTGAAAAAACATAAACATAATTAAATATTTATATATTTTTTAAAGTGCAACTAGTTCCTTTAAATGTCTTATACAAATGAAACACTAATTACTACTCACTTCACGAAATTTGGCCGATTCCATACTAACTGCGCTATGCTAATATTGCATTGTATCGCTAAACAGATTCAAGGATATTGGTTAACTTACTCGTTCGGAGCTGCCGAGTGGCGGTCTCCTGTCCCATATGAGGATCCTATAACGTTGAATATCTCCGCATTTCCATTCGCCATATTGGCAAGAAGTTTCATTTCAAATGTTCTCACGTACACAGTTAATTTATAAATCAACTTCCACAAGACTAGATTTTGTTCAGAACAGGACGTCAGTTGAACAACCCACGCTCACGAATCCTAATGAAGCTTAAGCAATTCTCGGTATAGATATAAGCAATTCTCGGTATAGATATAGGCCCCTATTTCACCAATGAGTAAACAAATAAGTTGTTAAATGTAGATTACACACAGATCTTAGCGATGCTGTACTATTGCAGTACAGTCGTGAAACGCAGGAAGTGTTTGAGTGGATATCCTTGACAGTAACAAGGTCAACAAGACCGGTTTAATAGCTTAAAGATTTTGGTATACTGAGTGATGATATCTCATGTTAACTATTACATTCACTATCTAAATAAATCAGTTTAGATTATAAAGATTATAATGGAATTGTTTTTCCGTCTGTCTGCGTAAGTGAATAATACTTGAAAAGAGCGATGTATTATTTCATCTACTGCTAAAGTTTTTCAATCCAAATCCGTAATTATATAAAAAAGGAAAAATGTAATACAGTATTATATTTTTCTTTTATCGACAAATACATCAACTAGTCTTTTATAAGGGCCACGTAGTCTGTTCTTTGCCTGCGACTTTGCACTCTATTAATAATACTTTGCTATGTTTGCAATATGTAAGAATTGATTTAACAAAATTAGGATCAATTTAATTTCTATCTCTACAACGCTCTATAAATTATTCTTGTTAATAAAATTCCATCATTGTTTATACATTCAAAATAATTAAATTACTCGTATATTACGCCTTATAGAATTAATTCCACCAGTACACAAACTGCAGCGCGGTATGCAAACAAATAACTGCGTCGTTTTGATGACAGCAGTGACACACTTAAATGTAAACATGATCATTGTCTATATTGGCACCTTTCATGTTCTACAGGTATATAGAAAATAGGTAATTCGAACCACAGCGAGTTTCAGAGGGGATGGACATGATGCAGGGCGCATGGGGGCGAGGCTGCCAGAACATTGGACAATCGATTTCATTTAGCACACTGTAGCTAAATACAGTGTATATGTGAACTAATAAAGCGGACCAAATTTTCTGTAATACTTTAAATATTAAGACTAGGTAAAATGAATAGTGTCTGTAATTAAAACAATAGATATCAAGTAAGTAATAAAAACAACAAAAGTGAATCTCATCAACAAACTTTCTCAGCAGAGAAAAAAGTAAACAAGGTTATAAACTGAGAGCCAAGTGTCGAACAGTGAGTGAAGACAAAGAAAATAACATTTGTACACAAGAGTAAGCAAAATGAATTAGCAAATTATTTCAATGCAGTAAAATGCATATTATATTCACTATTACAAAAGTTTACTAGTTATGTATGATACATCAATATAGTAAAATAATCTCAAAGATTATTTAAATGTTATAGTAAAAACACCTGTCTATATCTGTAGATATACAGAATTCAAATTAAAACATGATTAAACAATAAAGCCTCTATATACTATTTCAGATACAGTGGCAAATACAAAGAACACTGTAATATTCCAAAGATGTCATGAACTTATAATTTATCAATCGTCACTAGTTAACATTTAGGTATACCACAAATTATTACTGTCAAAGATACCCAATATCTCAATATAGGTGTGCTGACACCTATCTTTATTAGGAAAAAAACTTTACACAAATAAACACCAGATGTTTAAAGAGCGAATGCGTTCAATGCCCACTTCCTACAGGCGGATATTGTGAATAGTAACTAATGCGATGACGACAATATGCGATTACACACAGTAAACCGTCACAGCTGGTATCGAGATCGCAGTGATAAGCAGATTATAATCTAACGAGTTATCTAGAGCGGCGTGTGTATCGGCCACGGCGCGACGGCGGGGGCGATCACGTATACTGACGTTTAGTCGGTATAGCATTGGGCTTTAGGCAATAGCACAGTACCACTTCCCCCGCGACCGCCGACTCTACCAAACAGCTGATTCATTGGACGAGTACAGTTGCTTAGACGGCTCTCATTCTTCGTCGGTTATTATATATTTCATTATTAATTAAATGTTATAAATAATTCTGCAATCTATAATTATTTGTAACATATAATTAATCATGAAATGAACGTGGCATGTCATTGAATAGAACAACAATATATTGTTATTTGTTTTTTATCCGTAACAAACCACGAACGTCACTGATATTTCTTCACCGATTATTACCAAAGTATACATTGCCTATGAAATTCTTAAAAATTGTATGTGCTATGAACTCGGAACGAGAACTACATGGAATAACATTTAAAGAGGTCAATGGTCTATATTCCGGTCACTTACTAGTGTAGGCATAGTGCAGTATAAATTCGCTTGCGGGATCAATGAGAAGACGTCGATGCAATATTAGTTCGCTTATAGTAGAACTTTTTATTGCTATAAAAAGAAAAAAGTCATAGGTGAGAAATTTAAAAAAGAAAATCCGTAAAAATTTATAAATTAACATGCCTGTAAAAATTTATTTGTGTTATTTTTCTGAATATTATTTTACATTTTCAAATTTCCTATAATTCCCGGTTCCAAATTTCATCGCAATTAAAGTTTCAAAGAGGAACTATAAAATACGCATTTAATGTAACTATCTTCTTCCTAATATAACTAATTTCCGTAAGTTCTTTTATACACCTAACGCAACTCGAAATTGAGAGTTGTCGACCCTATTTACCATATATGACCGTGGTACTTTTGTACTAACGCTTATAGAAATTTTCTACAATCTTTCGTCACATCATGAAAATGTAAATTGGACTCTCTTCTCCGCATTTAGCCGCATTTAGTCGCATCTGAACAGTTATGGGTGTAGAGCCGAGACTATTAAAGTAGCCAACCAAGCGTAGAAGCCTCCTGATGTCTTCACAGGCTTCAAGAACCGTTCCGAAGTTTACGTTGTGTGGCCATTGTTACGAACTCCAGGATTACGTGAGCGGTTGTTTCCTCGGCTTCAAAGCAGCCCCCACAGTGATAGCTGTCTATAGCATCTATTGTGTCCATGTGTTTGTGTAATTAATAACAGGCCATTGTCCCTATTATTATTTTAAAGTTTTAACTATTTAGGGTGTGTAGGCATTTACAACTATATTGAGTTACTTTTTTCTTTACAGAATACAGCATGTCTCTCTGAATATATTGAGCTGAGTTTATTGAAATTGCTTTAGCATATCATAAATTTTCTAGGTTCGGAGCAAGAACAATATATAATGAATAAATTGGCCCCCTATCAAGTGGACTCATATTTCTCTGGGGTGTTGTGAATTGAAAGAACACTCACGTGAATTAGTCGTGAACGTTATCATATGTAAGGTCTAGTATGTATTCATATTATTATGATGAAATCACAAAAAATCCTATTCATTCCACACGACAATCACACCATTCTGTATCATAAGTAAATTTTAAAAACAATCAACGATAACTTAAGAAGTGTTATAAATAACACTTCACTATAGTGATCTATAGAATATCATGAACTCTCTTTTGACTATCACTGATTGGATTATTTTATAATTATAAACTAAATAAGGAATAGATTTAGAGGTAAATTTACATGCATGTTTATGGGTGAACGTTTTTTATACATGTAGATTTAAAGTACACATACAGATAATTTTAATAATATGATATATATATGTGCTATCGGGGCTTTACCGCGCTAATTCGACGTATCAAGGTAATAAGTTAATAATACGAATAAATATATATTGTAAAGTCCCATTATTTATATGACGTTAAGTGTAAATAATCATAAACGTACCGTCACGAATGTTATACTAGATGGGGTTGACAGAAGTATACATAACTGTCAATGTTGTGGGGAATTTAAAATGACATGCTGATGACCGGTCATGCGCACCCCTCTAGGGAGATAAATACTCTGACATGACCAGATTTCGCTAGGTATCATTAAAACTAACGTAGCTAGTGCAAGTCTACAGCCGTCTCTCGGATTAATTTTTGTTTAAATATTGAAGTTTGGGCTTCATTTGAATACACTACCTATTAAGTGTAGCGCACTAATAGGCCACTACATTTTTATTTAATGCATCATAGTGCGTCAAATTTGTAACCATATATTAAATAATCTTGTCTTAGAAATTATGACATAATTTAGACATTACAAAACATTGACGACATAGCTGTTAATAAATTAATAATTGTAATACTTATTTGTTTCGTAAAATCGTTAATAACTTTCTTCCATGTTTCCTTCCTCTTCAACTTTCTTTTAAAAGACATAATCGTAATCTCATCTTTATAATGAAAAAGTTCGATTGCATACCGGTATTGGGACGTCTGATGTACGCTACAGTACGATATAACAAGTTCTCGTCATGGAAATGTTTTATGATTTGATTGCGAAAGTGTTGACGTAATGAGTTTAGGAATTTGAAGATTTTCACATTACTCATGTGTCCTTCGCAAGAAGGAATATATTGATAAGTGTAATAGTATGACGCAACGTGTAGCATACTTGTATCTAGGAGCATGTACATACTATTATGAGTAATAACAAGCAGATCTCCCGACTTCTGTTACTCAAGGACTTTGATAGGATTTCTTTAATATACAACTGATAATTGTAATCTATAAGAAGACTATATAATAGTTAATTCATAGAGTAAACATTAGAAATAGTCAGTTTTCACGACTTTCTGAATTATATATTTTATTTATCTACATAACCGCATAGGAAATAGAAAAATATTATTGTGATAGATATCATAAGCCTGAATGTAAAATTATATAAGTATATGGTAGATATGTGCGTATGTACGATGAAAACATTACATTACAAATTTGTTACATATTTTGTTTTCGAAAGACTGAAGTGGATGATATTTCAAAAGTGCCGAAAAAATTGTTTTATACCATGAAATTTTATTTTACAAGATCAGTAATTTATATAAATTTGAAAAGCCGGACACATCCATATAGACTTACAGTCCTAAAATTATATGTAGATTTTAAATAACGTCATATTTTTCGTGATTAAGTTTTTATGACTTTCCAATATTTATCTATGACAAGCATCAATGGTCAAGGACGTTCTTAAGTCTACCCCAAGCGCGTGTAGGCCATACCCAAATATATGTAGTATTGCGTGTGGCCTGACACGTGCTCGGCCGCATGTATTCCTAATATTAGCTATTACCTGCAACTTCGTCTACTTTCCCGTCTGACTAACCCAAGTCCATCACAGAGATACAATTTCGTTAAATTTCTATAGAATCCGTTCAAGCGTTTAGTTGTGAAAGGGTAACAAAGAGACAAACACATCAACATTTTACTTATAATAGTTTTATAGATGAAATTGGATGAATAACACTTAGTATTGCCTATTCAAATGTATTAATCATACTATTAACATATTACAAATATGAACGATAAAGAAACAAGTTTCTAATTAAACAATTATTAATATGTGTACTGTACAAACATATACACACAGTTCATTATTTGTTGTGGAACGGAAAGAATTAAATATAAATCAATATTGATAGCAGGTGAGTAACGTACCTGTGTCCTAGATCTCTCTTATCAAACCATGTGCTATGCATAGTTGTGAGCGACTCAGCAAAACTATCCAGTTCAACCTCGCTTCTATCACTTCTCAGTAATGGTTTGTCTACACCAACTATAGACTTATCAGGTATTTCTAC